AAATACGCTGCTTTTAAGCGATCGATGCTGATGCTATCGTTGGTTCCGTTCTTATCGACTGTATAGTACTTAGATTCACGTTGAAGAACTTTGAAAGGTCCGTCGTATGCTGATTCGAATGGTCGTCGATGCAAGACTCGACGTACGAAAACGTGTGTATTATATCGTAAGTCCGGTTGAACGAAACACATCAGTTGATTGCGGTCGAGTGGAAGCAGTTTTAACTGGACGCATTGCGTTTGTAAGCCTGTTCGTGTAGGATGCTAGATCCATGTTCACTGAAGAGGATGAAGGATCCACGAATTCTCCTGGAAGTCGAAGCGTCGTTCCATAAACGAGTTGAGCCGCAGAGTATCCAATGTCAGCTTCCAATGCATTGCGGATACCTAGTAAGACGAGTGAAAGAGCGTCGGTCCATTGTGAAACGTTTGCAGCTGATAGTGAAGTTTTAGTTGTCAGTGAGAGCGTTACACCAACCCGTTTGCTTGTGGGTGGTAGACCGTCATTCGGAAGCGAGTGATTTCTAAAAGTGTGGTCAGACGACGGAAAAAATTCAGATTCAAACTGACGTCCGCGGTTTGTGGTGATGGTTGAAGGGCAACCGAAGTTTGCTACCCATCGTTCGACGAAGGTGCGGGCCACTGTTTCAGCAGTGATGTCCTTGATAGGTACTGCTTCTGGCCATCGAGTGAAACGGTCTACGCAGGTTAAGAGGTAAGAGTATCCATTTGAATCTGGTAAAGGTCCTACCAAATCCAGATGAACATGGTCGAAACGAGCATCGGGAGTTTTAAACGAGCCTAAGGGACATTTATTGTGTCTGATAACCTTAGATTTTTGGCAGCTTACACAGGAGCGTGCCCACTCCCTCACGTCTTTATTCATACCAGGCCAGCAAAATCGCCCTGCTATAAGCTTGATGGTTGCACGAACACCTGGATGAGAAAGTTTGTGCAATGTGTTGAAGACATTGTGTCGATAATGTTTCGGCACGATTGGGCGATCCCTACCTGTAGATAAGTCATACAGCAAGGTTTCCCTACCTGTTCCCATCTGTTTGATGCGTAGTTTGAGGGTTGTAGACGATAACTCGTGCTGAAGATCAGTGTCTTCTTTTTGAAGCTCGGCGAGTTTAAGAAGGTCGATTCCTTGGAAACTGTTCAAGGAAGTTATGCGAGTTAAGGCGTCTGCAATTACATTGTTTGCTCCAGAGATGTGTTGAATGTCTGAAGTAAACTGCGAAATGTAATCCATTTGTCGAGACTCACGAGGTGAGTACTTTTCTGAAGAGTAGCTTAACGAGAAAGTAAGAGGTTTATGGTCAGTGAAAAGAGTGAATTCACGGCCTTCGATATAATGTTGAAAATGCCGTTCAGCACAATACATAGCTAGGAGTTCTCTACCGAATGTGCTGTACCTCGATTCGGTGTCTAGTAACCGTCTAGAGAAAAATGCCAAGGGTTGCCAGGAGTTGTTAACCCATTGTTGTAAGACTCCTCCGATTGCCGAGTCGGATGCGTCCACCGCGATGCTAATGGGTGCTTGAGTGTCCTGATGTGCAAGCATTGTTGCTTTAGCGATAAGTTCCTTAATAAGGGAGAATGCTTTTTGTGCGGCGTCGTCCAAATTAATGGATTTCGCATTTCCACGAAGTTGGTCAGTAAGAAGTTTCATGAGTAATGCGCATTTCGGTGTGAATCTGTAGAATTATGGTCTACTATGATATTAGTATTGCTCTAATAATAGACCTAATCCTAAATTTGTAGATTTGTCATGATATAACTGCCTAATCTATAAGATCTTTCGTGGAAGTCACACCATCGACTACACCAACTCACGGTATCGTATCAATTACCAATACATGATGAAGAACAAGCTCAGGCTAGAGAAAGAACAATATATTTAATATGAATAGAAGATATAAGGTAATATTCAGCAGAGACCACGCCTGCATGGCCGAGCCATGCCACTCGATCAAGTCCAGTCCATTCAATGCATTGTTCGCGCCTTCTCCATTGTTAGGTATTTCTCCGCGTTAAATATTGAATATCTATTTTCTGAGTAGTCTCGTGTTCACAGCTTTGTGGATTGTGCGGTTATTGTCCAATGCCACTACAAATCGTCTAGAGAAACTTACAAGGTCGTTAAACATTCGTGATTGCTTGATCGAGGTCGGTCCTGGATAATCCAGAATGGCCGCATCGATAGTGTGTCCTAGGAAGTCTAATGAATCGGTTCCAATTTGGCATTCTTGGATGTTTACAGTAATGCCATGTTCCTGTAGTCGTTCGAAAACAAGATCCAGATGCTTGGGATGTGATTCTCTGTCCGGACTTGCGATTAGGCAGTCGTCAACATACGCATGTACGAAGTTGAGACCTCGAAAAACGTCCTCTATGAATCTTTGGAATGTTTGAGCAGCGTTTCTTAGACCGAAAGGTATTCGCAAAAATTCATAGAGTCCGAAGGGAGTAATTATAGCTGTTTTCGGTATGTCGTCAGTAGTCATAGGGATTTGGTTATACGCTTTAACCAGGTCGATTTTCGAAAAGACAGTTGTACCTTTCAAGATAGTTGTCAAATTGTGGATGTGAGACAACGGATAACGATCGGGAATGGTTTTCGCGTTCAATCGCCCATAGTCACCAGTTGGACGCCAATCATTGCTGTCCTTTTAAGGGACCATGTGCAACGGAGATGCACATGGGCTATTTGACGATCGTATGATTCCGAAGTCTATCATGTGGTCGAACTCGTTCTTAGTCAACCTTAGCTTTTCAGGAGCTAGTTGTCGTGCTTTAGAGAATACAGGTGGTCCTGTAGTCGTGATGTGATGTGTAACGTTGCTGGTTACACACGGCAATTTCTGTTGCGTTTGGTTTATCCCAGAATACTTATCGAGTAGTGATTGATAGAATGGGTCTATCGTGTGCTTAATTGTGACTAGAGATAATCTGCAACCAGTAAAAGAAGTTACGCAAACAGATAAATTAGTGTTTCCGTCTACTTGCCTCCGTTTGCGCGTATCAATGATTAGATTATGGTGTTGTAGAAGGTCCATACCAATGATTGGCATAGAAACATCTGCAACAACGAAGATCCAGTGAATGGGTTTGCTTAAACCCACGTTCAGGTAAACGTACCTTTTGCCATACGTAGCGATGGGTTTTCCGTTTGTCGCCTGTAAGTCTAAAACCGATTCGTGAAGCCGGTCGTTGGGATTTGCTGGGAAAACACTAAACTTTGCACCAGTATCGACGAAGTAGCGAGCTTTTGTTTTCACATCTGTTACGTATAACAGACGGCTATGTTCGCCGGCTACGGTTGCCGTTAACGCATGCCGGCTTGGAAGTTTCTCGAGTTGTTTTTCGAGTCAGTCGGTTTTGAGTTGGGAAAATCGCAGGCTTTTCTGCAATTTCTGGAAGACTTTCCATACTGGTTATGATACCAGCACAACTCGGGGTTATCCGTCTCTCGTGGTCTAGAGACAGATCGCTTACGTGAAATGCTTCTACGTGAAGTGTGCGAGCGATTACGGTCGTTACGAAGATTAAGATAACTCGTGAGTGTACGATATAACTCGGTTATGTCATTCTGAGTCGTGTGAGGCTTTTCTTTGACTGAAAATACCTCGGTAGTAGATTTCGTAATTTCTAAAATACGATCGGCAGATGCAGCCAGTTCGTCTAAGGCGTTGTTCTGAAACGAGATCAGAACCGCTTGCACCTGTTGGGGAAGTTTATACAAGAAGAGTTGTTTGAATAGACCTTCGTCGAAGTTCTTGGTCTTTTAACCTCTCTTATCCTTCGCAACATGTCCGTCGCAGAACTGTGTTTCAGGTCTATGTTCTTAGAGAGTTGGTCTAACCTTTGTCGATCGGTTGTGTCTCCTCGTTTAAGGATAGAACGCTTCAAGGTTTCGTACGGTTCAGAAACATCACTAGTAAACACACTAGTTGTTACGTAGCTGTTGAATTCCCGCGGTAGCGCCTTGACTACTGCGAGGGATCGTGCACGTGTGTCGTTCACGCCGTGCCCGGAAAAGTCGGCTTCTGAGTGGCAGAGCCAGGCTTCGATATTGTCTAGCCAGAAGGGCATGAGTTGGGACGAGGGTGTGGATAAAGTCTTAAGCTTAAATACTTTAGGTGTCTGTTCAGTCATGATGAAATATGAAGTTCGATAATGAACGAGGGAAAAAATATATATGTATCCAAAAAGCACAAAAAATATTTCAGTGTATAAAAATTAAGATAAAGCAATAATATATAGAATCCCAAAGTGGAACAAACTCACAGTTTACGATTTGGTGTGCCAGATCACGTTAGGCTCACCAATGAAGATGGCACAGGTATTCAGTGTTTGAAAACGCTTTTACCAGTAACACCTAATATAACTCGTACCCACCAAGAGAAATCAAAAGACAGAATTGAGGGGATCAGAAGTTGTATTTGACGTTTGCCAATATATCGGAATTGTCTGATCTAGTCTGGCTAGCGACTGCAGTAGCAGTTGAGCACGGCGTTCCCACACGTGATCTGGTGCGGATGCATGACCGAGCGCCTTCAGCTAGGTGAGTCCACTAAAACTAATCTGGTCAGCATCCAATGTCGAAAACTTACAGAGCTATTTATTTTGGGGATTTATTTACCGCTACGACTTCTACTCTTTGAGAGTGGTCAAATGCTGGAATTCGCTGCAACTTCCCATGAATCCTTTGAGAAAAAACTTGAAATATTCCTAAGGACTAAGAATAGTACCTTACTGTGATTTGCCACGTTTTCTTTTTTCTTTATCGATCATATCCCTATAGGTATAGGAACCTACAGGTTGCTGGCTGGAGGTAACGATGATCCTCTGTTGCAAAATACGGACGTCCAACAAGCTAAATCTGCTTCTATTTCATCCAGAACCATTTGAAGTTGTCTTATCAGTTAGACAGAGATAACAGGGAACAAATAGTTTGTTAATTTAACCAATCTTGGGGTTTGGACGTCTTGCTACGCGCCTGAAATAAAACTGTTTTTACTTTGGTTTCGTTGGTCTTGTTCTAGAGAAAGACAGCTCATTCTAGTTCTAGATAAGCGTACTAATGTACTTAAATTTTTTGAGAAGTTTGATTATTCGATGCATTAAAACTTGTCAGATATTCATAGACTTAATTTCAGACAATAACGTTTCGTACATCGCTCATATAGTTAGAAAATTAGTTAGCACTTGGTAATTTAGCATAAAATTACTTATTGCATATGTGATTGTTTCATCTTGGCTTTCAAATAAGGCACGAAGTGTTACTGATTGCCCTAGAAAATCAACAAATTATTGCTCACACATTAGTTTGAGCTTGTATATGAGCGGCCCAACGTCAATTTATTAGTAACAATATGTTTTCTTTAAAGAATGTGTGGTATCATCATGGATATGAGCAATATTTTTTATAGTAATATATTATTTGTATTTCACGCATTATGTTAATGGATGACAAAATGTCAAACTTAAGGTTTTCAAATTAAAGTTTGGCTAACATTTCCAAATACCTTGAGAAACTTAGCTCTCGTTTATCATAAAATTCATCTAAATTAACTAATAATTTGGCCTTTTACTCAGCAGCCCACATTCTAGGACAATAAAATCTCAATATTTCACGCACACTTAGGGCTCAAAACAGATACGGACGTACGACGTATGTGTGAAAATGTACAAACTTCATACGTTTCTTTTAATGCAATTTTCTTTTAAAAAGGTAGTCTCAGCTATTAATATTATAATATTGCTTGAAATTTTTAAGGCTCAATAGTCAGTAATTGGCGATAATATTATGCTAAGTGTGACTTCTGGATCATTCTACTATTTTACATTATTGGCTCTTTTTCTATCAAGTTTTGAGCTTACTTATTACGTCATGCTTCTAATTGTCCTGTGGGCCATTTTCCGTTTTATTTATTTGCTTTCGAACTGCACTTGCTGTTTTACCCTAATTTTTAGTCTTTCAGGGATCTTATCTCATCTTTCCTCACATTTTTATTTTAAAATTACCTGTTTTTATCGACTACAGAATAGGATTTTACCAATTTTTATCAACTTTTTCGGACAAACGGATCGTTTTGGGTTTACAAAATGGATTTAAGTAAGTCAATCAATATTATCGCTATGATTTTAGCTACATGTTATGGTAAATTTTCCATTTTGAATCTCATCCTGAAAAGTCGCTTCTTTAAGCCCATATTATAAAATTAGTTTACAGATTTCGCCAATAAAAATGACCACCGAGACTTAAAAGTGGCGAGAAAATGGATCGTATGTCAATCATTCTTCACTATTCTCATCATTTCGATAATTCACTGTGACCGTATCTTGTTACAATACAACTAAAGGCTGCCATGCAGTTGCACTGCATTACTCTGTGGCTGTGAAACAGTCCATGTAGGTAGGGAACGTAAAAATATTCTACCTTCTTTAAATAAGTGCCTTTTAAGTATGATTTGGCCGCCAAGTGAACAACCTAGGTTTGATATATATATGATTTTGTGTATGGCTGGTATGTTGGTTGATGGGCTTGCGGATATTTAATTTAAATTAAACCGCCGCCTACCTCAATAGCTGGTATCGGGCCATTGTGAAAGAAACAGTTTAAAACCTATCGACCAAGTCGTTGGTTGTTGGTTTATACCATATAGAAAAAAGGTTAACATCTAAAGTAAGTACATTAATCATTATCGTTGGATGGATGACTATACATATGATGGGGCCAGCTGTATTAGCTTAGTTGTATTCCGTCTATCGATCCCTAAATCTTAAAGCTAGTGTTATTCTGTACTTTCCATTTTTCGATCCCACTCCTTTTTTGTATGCTGTGCTCTGTGTTAAGTTTTAGTTTCCAATCTTTCATACTAGTTCTAGTATTTTCGTAAAGTACGAGTGAACTTATCAAGTGTAAGTGTATTCTGCGTCACTGTTCATTTCAGTGTTATCGAACCTATCTTCATAGCGATTCTTCTTTGGCAAACAAAATATATGACTTGTTTTTATGTCAAGGCATCAACTTAGTGCTCTTCGAACCCAATATTTATTCCAAGCGTTCCTGAATGTTGTTCAAATTTATCCCACAGAAATTGTTCGATTGACACTAAGCTTGTTACCGCTTCAAATGACCAGCCAAAACCACTAAACTCAGCTATTAAATTTGTCTCTATTATTAGGAATTATTATTATTATCGATCTTCACGGTTTTTATGTATGATTTGGAGAACTTTTTATCATAGGTTATATGGACGTTGGTGTAGGTATAGTTCGTTGGGTTAAATAAGCAGGTATCAATGGGTTGTAAGAGCCCCTCTGAAATTTAATGCCTGCATGATGAACTCTTGAAGTAACAGGCAAGTATGTTTGAAAACCAGAACCTCACAAAAAATAAAGAGTGAATTCATCTATGGTACTGTGGCCGATTCTGAACCACATCACCAAACGTCTTTGACCACTGATATTGGCTGTCTTTTGAACTTTTGCCTGGCAGTCTACAAGTGTCAATTCGGATTCGACCAATAGTCAGTGATTTCATGGATTGATATCACTTATTGTTTTGACCGTTTTCTGCTTTCTTTCAACCTACTCTTGTCCCAACTACCATTGCGCTTCGTGGTTGGCTTCATTTTTGCATGCGTATCACTTGTTTTACCTGCTGTAGTCAGCGAATATTCACAAATTTATCAAATAGATTTCATCTTTGTCCCCGATGCCCTGTTACGACTGAGGGTGGGTAGATTCCACTCTCCTCAAAATGCTCTCACATGGCCTCGCGTATACAGCTACTTCCAAAGAAGTCCTACTCACTTCCTTCTCGTGGCGGGGGTGCTGTTTACGAAATTGAAAGGATGAAAAGCGATTGTCCGGCGCTTTAACCGGGTTGATGGATACAGAGGATCCACCTAGGGGAGTTGAAAAACATTGATTCCAAACCAATGGTGTACATGGGCTCCGGGATTATGAGGAAACAAATGGAGTATGAACCCATTGTTGGTCGGCAGCCACCATGGGATTACATCTCCTGACGTTGCTTCACTGCCTTGTTGGTCAGACCTTTCGGCCCAAGGCTCGGGATGTGGCTCCCTATGAAAATTTCCCTGCTTCGGAAGTATCCCAGCCCACACACAAATCGAGTGACTTGTGTAGCGCATATGTATTCGGTGTGCCTTTGTACTAATATTCATGAGTTCAAATAAATAAATAAATAAATACATCTTTGCCTAGTACCTTGTGCACAACCCCAGCATTGTTCACTCTATTGTTCCATCATACACCAATAATACTACGAAAACACCTATGCTCAAGAAATTGTAACTTACGTATGCTTTTTGCCACTGAAGGCCACATTTCAGAGACATAAGTTAAAACAGAGCTAAATGCTGAACAGCACGCTCATCCCTTGGTTGGTAGACAGACGTTTCGTTTACGCCAAAGGTGACGAAGTTCGGTAAAAGCCTAGGAAGGTTTCCGAATATGTCCCTGTATATCGTCAAACACCAGTCCATCAGAGTTTGTGAGACTTCCAAGATGGGTCAAGTGATAAACACTCTCAACTTCTTCACTTCCTATCATTAGTTTATATGTTGATGCAGACCAGTCTAGAAGCAATATTTTGCATTCATGGGGTAAGAAATGCTCTCCAGTCCATCGTTACTCAAGGCCTTCAAAGGATCCTAATTACGTCAGTCTTCATTAAACAGAACAAAGTCAACTAGATATTTCACATCAATGAGTAGGTTTCCTGAGCAAGAATCACCGCCTAAAAAGTTACATAAAAAATTGCTATTTTTAGGAAGAAATATGAAATTGAGGGATTTACAAGAAAGTCAGAAACATTCTTGTATTAATCCATATTATCAGTATCCGACTGCAGTATGATATACTAGTCTATCGTCGGCAGCAAAAATTAGCTGGCACATCACTAACAACTTCTGGCAGTTAGTTGTGACGAAAAGTAATGTGTAACTTGTGTAGATCTTCAGTAAACAACCGGGCCAGCGTAAATGTTTGTTTAGGTAGGTTGTTAGTTAGTAAGTCATTTTATTCACAGGTATGATCATCTGGGCTATTATTTTAAATTTTCTTGACAGAAGACTATCTGAATTGATAGTTTTGTTTATTCTCTTCTATAACTTCTTGTTCTTATGTTTGAGCTTATTGATGTGTAATCATTAGCAAACTTCACGAAACTGAGAGTCATATTTAACTAAAACTACTCTTAGTTTGGTTAAATTTGCACTTAGTTTCACTTGTATTTTGTGTTCTTAGATGCATACAAAGGATGGTCTTCTGAACTTCATTCTACATACAATCAACTTCTCGAATATGAAAGTTTTTTGCGTTTGTTTCCTGTAGAGGTTGCTAACTCTATAGCCACCAGTACTGTAATGAGTGTGAAGGTAGGATGATGTTTCATTTAATAGTACAGTGTTTAAGTTAAAGAAAACATAATTATTTGTAGTGGATTATGTATTTATTCCTATTAGACAAGCAACTAAGTTTTCAGTTACAAAAGTAAAATTAAATTATTAGTTACTGAAAAATTCCCGTCATATTAAAACACAGTTATGAATAAAATACAGATTACTGCAGTCATACGTCAGCCTGCTGTGGTAGAGAACAAACCAACTTCCAGCTGAGGGGGAAATTAAGAAAAGATATTGGAAGTGGATAGGACACACATTGGGAAAATTATCAAACTGCATCACGAGGTAAGCGCTAACTTGGGATCCTGAAGGGAAACGAAAAAGTGGAAGGCCGAAAACCACACTGCGTCGGGAATTGGAAGCAGATATAAAAAGTATGAATAGCGACTGGAAACAACTGGAAAGGATTATCCAGGAGAGTGCTGGATGGAGAATGCTGGTGAGCGGCTTATGCTTCTTCATAAGGGGTAACAGGCGTAAGTAAGTAAGCAGCCGTACGTGATTATTTCAGTTGAATAATCATCGGAAGCCTGAAAATGAGATATCTTATGGTCATTCGTTCGTGACCATCACTGAATCGATCTGTGACAGAACGCGATTAAATATAAAGGAATTAATTAACTGGTTGTTTAGCATTTACAATCGACTGTATTGATTATTATAGGTAGCATTACAGTTAAGAATTAACCTATTTAGTTTTGTCATAGTTTCGTTGGTGTGTGATTAGTAAATCAAGCCCATATTTTATAATCAATCATGTTTCAAATTACTCCTAATTGTTCTATAATTTTATTCAATAATTTGTATATATCAGGGCAACGCTTTACAGTAAAGAAAAATTTATTCAGTTGGCCGCTTTGTTGTTTCTTGATATCGATTCATTCAGAAGTTTCCATTTATGCTTCCATTTTGTGAGCCTTCATATCTTATCATTACTTATCGTCTATTGATCAGCCTTTTGTCCATCCTTATGATAACAACTGTATTCGTAATCAGCCATCCTAAAACACCTTAATAATGCGAAACTCCATCTGAAGTAAGGGTATTAGGCAACTTTATTAGTGTAGCCGAGCTGTTCTATGAGGGTGTTTATTACTTCGACATAACATCGTACCTATTTTACAATTAGTTATTGCTCTTTGACTTTTAAGATGTTGATTTTTTAAAGGGCACTCGAAAATCCAACTAGATGGTAATTGAACTGTTATTCTTATCACCAATTTTTTGCCTCCATAATAATAATTTATTTTTTCCTATTCAAGCAACCCTTCGTAGAACTGTATTGTCGTCTCTCATTTCACAGACCCCATTTCCTTTTGATTATTTGGAAACATTCACCTACATGTTTCGTGAATACACACACAATCTGAATATTTATATTTTGTTGAGTAATCGTTTACTCAGCTTAAATTCACAGATTTTGTTTCAAGACTAGTGATACTAAACGGTTGCTTATGCTAAATTAGGTTAAGGGAGAGTGAAACTTTGATACCAGTCAGTCAGTCAGTCAGTCAGTCAGTCAGTCAGTCAGTCAGTCAGCTACAACGTAGGACCAGGCACATATGTGCATCGGTCCAGGTTGCCATACCGTATCAGCACAACAAGATGAACACCGGATTCATAGCAGTGGTTAGGTCAAAGGTGGTAATATATAAGAGAAAGATTGCATATGGAGATATAGTACAAGAAGAAGGAATTGGTTCGTAGAAAGAAATATATGAAGTGATTTTAATCTCTTAGTTTAAGGGAAGACAGGGAGTGTATACACCGACGCGATTGTGATCGATTCTGAGCCATGTCACCAAGAGTCTCCAACCATTGGTTAAGATAGTCACGCGGACCACAACCAAGTAGTCTGCATCTACCAACATGGCTCAGACTAGAAGTTGGTGACTTTAAGCACTGATGCCACGTTTTGGTTTGGCCGCCCCTAACTTTCTTCCAACCATTTCCAATACCGGATAGCATTGCACGTCGTGGTAATCGATGTTCGGGCATACGTAACAGGTGGCCCAACTATCTCAGTCGATGAAGATTCACAACCTCATTAACTGATTTGCCATCATTCCCTAATACCCTGCGTCGAACCTCATTATTACTCACCCGGTGATCCCAGCAGACGCCAGCAATATTTCTAAGGCATCTGTGGTCAAATACTTGTAGCTTACGAGTGTCTTCTACTCTTAATGGCCATATTTCGCTGCCGTAAATTAAAACAGAACGGACTGCCGCGCAGTATACTCGTCCTTTTATTGATAGACGTATATCTCGCCTTCGCCATAGGTGACGTAAGTTGGCAAAAGCCAAACGAGCTTTTCGAATCCGTGCTGAGATTTCGTCAGACACCAACCCATTAGGGCTGATCAGACTTCCAAGATTAGTGAAGTTGTCAACGCGTTCGACTACTTCACTCCCTATCCTTAGTTCAGGTGTTAACGCAGATCAGTCCTGAAGCCACAACTTGCATTTAGAGGGAGAGAAACTTGCATTTAGAAGGATACCATAACCATACCATTTCATCCAGGTTGATAAACTTTTGTATTGAGGTCCTCTCTATTTGGACTAGACTTTCATGTTACGTTAATGCATTATTACAAATTATATGCACTTAATAAGAAACTAGTATAATAAAATAAATGTTACTATTTCAAATTATCTGTAATAGCAGTTATACATTTAGCAACTAGTCACATGAACTTGTGGAGATTTTACCGTTTTAACATGATGGCCATCAATAATACAGAACGTTTTGATGCGTGAAATATTCCTGACAAAAGTTTTATGGAGGGAAACAAAGGTAAACGACCAAAAAATGGTGATTTTCAAATGTTCCGAACTGTATTCCCTGAAAATGTCACCACTAAGTTTCATACTCCAAGTCTTTATTTATCACATTTTGCTAAATATTTTTGTATATAGACATATGATTGTTTGATAAACGAGATGTCTTATAGGTAAGTTGTGGACTTAATAGCTCAGCGGTAACGTCTCAGGCTGTGAAGCTGGGTGACGCTTGTTCAAACTCCATAGAGGGCATCACTCCCTTCAGCATTATAGTTACATTTTAGTCATGAATTCTAAGTGTCATGAAACCTAGAGCAGAGTTTCTTGCTGACCACTCCCAACTACCTTACGTTTTGTATGCATTATTAGATAAACTCTTGCTAGATGGTGATGCAAATTACTTACACGTTGACCAATTCGAAAATAGTGAAACTGTTTTCTATCTTTTTCCTGTTTATACGGGAACTTATTCTAATCAAATTTTAGTGTGATTGTTCATGTACTCTTCTGTCATCGTCTGGTGATGTAGTACCTGCCAATACCGATGCAACACATGATGGTTCTGTTTCTCATCGAAGCGAATCTATATCTCTTCCCCAAAATGTTTCTTCAGCACCGAATCCGCGTTCATCTTTTTCTGGTCAGACTTCCGTAGTACGTTTTGATTCTCCAGATGAACTGCGTTGGGTTATGCACGTACGTTCAAAATACAATTTGCAAATATTTTTTCTCTTATAACAGTATGATTCTTGTGTAACTTTCACAAAATCAGTCATTAGTGTATTAAAATTAGATTCAGTATCTCTTAGGTCGAGTCTCGAATCGGGATATCTGACCTGCAGGGGTAAATTTTAGGATATCTAAGGTACACAGGATGTATCAGTCTAGAGTTTATTTTTTGAGTTTCTGATTTAGGGAGATCAGTGCTTTGCGAATCTGTAGCTATAAATTTGCTGACCATACATATTATATACTGGTAAGCAATACTATCCGGTTGCTTTGATCAAAATAATTTGATTTCTAGTCAAGTACGTAGGTCTTTGCATTACAGCTGCACAAAGGTTTCATTTATACCTTCTCTTTCTTTGTACTTTTGGAGTTCCAAAAGTAAGCAATAGCAATTTCCAAGTGTATGTATAATTATATGATGATGAATCACTAGTTTATATTACATTCTCAGTTTATAGTTGTTTTTTCCAGTTTTAAAGTGATCACGTTGATCAATATGTAATCCCTGCTACTACCAATATTTATTGCAGCAATATTATCGATTCGAGTTAGTAAAACAGAATCTGTTCTACAAGGAAAATTAGATTGTAATCCATACTCTTTTTCTTATTTATGGTTATTTTAATAGGGTTTGTTATTCTGTTTAAATACCTACAATTTATCCTATAGATTAGAATTTCTAACTTGAATCCTTGGAAGTTAAATCTATAAACCATAGAGTCACAAGCCTATTCGTTGTGACTAAAATTATTTTACTATTATCTATATTTATCTGATGTAACTTTAGTAATAGTGTGTAATCGTTGTAGGTTAAGAATGTATGTATATATCATATGGTTGTGTTTGCATTTCATGTATGCAGACGGTACTGCAGGCAGTTCTATGTATGTACTAGTCTGTTATGCATCTGTAAAATTTCCCACTTAATCTTTCTCACTATCATTGTTACTTTTTTGCTATTCATCTTGTTAATTTCATCTCGTTATGCTATAATGGTATGACAACATGAGCAACTCAAATTCTTACCGTGCTCTACGTTAATTCTGACTGACCAAATATAATGATTCATAAATTCATACAACTATGTGTCTTAGTTTTTCCTGTTTATACGAAGTTTTTGTTGTAACTAAGGTGACTGACAATAAAACAATTTGAACTTGAACTTATAGCGAGTAAAATTTCCCTAAAGCCAATCAATTCTTGCGAAGTCTTTAGTGTCATAGGAATTTGAGTTTTTTGTTGCATTAAGATTTGAGACACATAATAGCGCTATATATTTGCTACACAATTCTGTTATGAAGCATATGTGGTACTTGATACTAATTACTTAAAAGCAAATGACCATTTGACTTTTTTGTTAGCCAGAACAGATTTTCACATCATTAACCTTTATTTCTTTTTTCTACGGTTATTACAAAAAGCAAAGTGATAAAGTTTACTCCCATGAACTTTTGTTCTTTTGTCCTTCGTTCTTAACACCTATCACGCAAAAATGGATTTCATACCTAACTAGCTAGAATCTCTTAGCATCTGTATGATTTTTTAGGCATTTTGACCGTATAGAAATGTTTTATGTTCCATTTTTTGAGATGGCTCATGGTGTGACATTTAAGAAAAACACTTGATTTTTGCCTTAAGATACCATAAAGGTGAATTTTTAAAACGTTTAAACTTCCCGAATCCTATGTTGTTTCTTCTTCCTATGTTATAAACAAAATTTTCTGGTCTGCTCTTAGAGACAATCAATTTTATAGGGTTTGTGTGGCTAAGTTGTATGTGTATAGCAGTTAGCCTGAAACCATGGATGAAGTGTTTGGACTATGATTTATGGTTTGTAATATTTTGTGAAATATATGAACAGTGATATGTTAGAATAAATCGGTCACCTTATAAGCGCTAATGCCATTATTTACTAACGTGGTCGTAAGCAGTCACATGCGCTTCATTTTTAGTCATACCAATCGTATCTTACGTACGCTGATTTTAGGCAGTCTCATTTTTATTACATAGGCTATCACTTACGGACTGACTATGTCATCTGAAAATTGGGACGTCATCAAACACAGTGCACATATTTACTGCTATTGGATCAGATGTCTTAATTCTTCAATACGCTCCACACAATCAGGGAATTCGAACTCACCAATTCCGTTGATTCTACAAAAGGAGCCACAACGTTTCTTAAAGTCCCTTTTGTTCTCCCTTACTTATTATTTCCTTCCACGTGATCCAGAACCATTAAGTGATCAGCCTAAGTTAATGTTTTCAACCCTTGGTCGAAGTTTAGCACCTCCACAGTATTTGACTAGTGCCGACTCATCAGAAGCTCCATCTTCTTTTACAGGTTAGAGTTTTAGCCTTTCATTTATTCTTGTCATAAATGTTGTTTTATGTTATTCTCATCAGCTTATTAAAACATGTGGCTTGTTTGGAGCCATATTAATGTCATCTGAGTCAATAATTTGGTGACTCTCGGCTTTTCGTAGGTAATAACCCACCATAAGTATTTTAGCACACTTGGTTCTTGTCAGTTACCTCCTTGTAATTTTCACATACATGAGAATATGAAGGTTAACGGTATTCCACCATCATGGAATTTTCGGCACTTTCGTGATCCCCCTCCCATGACCGGGAAGGTTCAGTGTTTAGCTGTTTTGTAGTTGTGATACCTCTTTTTGTGTTTATGACTTAACTGTTGTCTCAGTTTTCACCAGATCTGTTCATTTTGTTGCATCTGGGCTGCAATATTCTAACATGGAATCAAGTCGTATCTTGTGGATAATAAAAACTTCCATCTTGCAAACGAGATTGTCATATAATAGTGGCAAGGACGGTTATAATATTTATGTATTTAGATTAAGTTAGCGAGGGATGACAAAACTAAAAAAATGTTGGCTGAAACCCAACTTAACAGTGCAGCGCAACTGTTTCAGAATCACTGCTCTCATTAATTTACTGTATAGTAATGATGAATTCCTAACAGATAATAATGACAGTGCTTAGAGTTTTGACAAAGTCTCAAATTACCTAACGATATCAGTCCAGGTAAGCAAAGTAGTTTCGATGTGGTTACATAAGACGGTAATTTTTATCGTATTCGTAATTTTAGTACGTTGGTGCCATTTATGGTCCAAGGAGATTATATTGTAACATTTCAGATTAGCCTGTTGGGGCTACGCTAGTTTGCATCAGTTTTACTGATTTCCGGGTGTCATTATTATTCCAATTTTGCATAAAAATGGTTTATGCAACGTAGATATACAATTTTCAGTTGCCACTCTAATGTAATCCCTATTCCTAGTTTTGGTTTGTAAGTTTTGTTTATTCGTTCTGCTTTTTAAAATTAAATTTTTGTTTAGTTCTATTTTTTTAAATAATTTTTTAGTGATCGAGTCAACACACTTATCAGCGTTGCTAAATAAGCAGTTAGACATTATAAAACTGGTGGCTGCTGCAGTTGAAGAATTATGCTCAGTACCGACTCAGTTAACATCTGACTCCTGGGATTGTATATTGCGGTTTTGTCTGATCATATGTCATGCTATTCTGTCACCACCTTTACATTTACCATCAGGATTAATCCAGTCATCTACTGGGGCTTCTCAGATGACCAATACTTTTATTTCGGGATCAGGATCTGTTGGTGGACCTAATTCTGTGGCTCTTTTGTCAAATCATTCCAGTTCTTCAGATGTTAGGGGCACCAAGGATTCAGCTATCTTATTTGACGTCATATCAGACTGCGTTTCCAACTTACTATTCAGTACTTGGTTAAAAGCTTGTACTCATTGTTTTCCTAAACCACAACTCTGGGTCGCATTTAGAGAGTGCGCAAGAGTATGGCGACATCATAATGCGTTTATTAAACAGTGGTCTCGTGTTTCCGTGGCATTATCCGCTACTTTACTTGGTATACTAAATAAACCTACTAACTTAAACGGTAATTTTTACGTAGTCTTATATATATAATTTTTTTGATAATCAATGCTCCAAGACCATCTTTTGCAAGTTGAGTGTTGTTGTATTGGTATATGTGATAGCGAAACAGAATTTGGAAGTTGAACGCACTTCCAAATATTCCGGATTATGCCGCAAAGTTAAGTGGCAATTATAGCTTATCAGTGTTTTAGTTTGACTAAATTGGTGGCTTACTTAGTGACCTGTGCTATAAATCAGGAAAATAAAAAAAAACAGACATAGTTTCCAACATATAGTCAGTAGTATGTGACGAAACCATGTTAAAATAGTAACGTATGATACGTCTTGTGATCACTAACAACTATTTTTCATTCATCATCAGCTAAACAATTGGATTCTCACAGATCAAATCACACGCAAAATACTAACATATTTGTCCAGTACTTTCTTCAAAAGCAGATTCGAATGAGGTTGTGTTCTAGAATCTTAATAGATACAAAAATATGATTGATTTATCCACTACAATCTATGTCTCAGTGAAGTTGATAACGAGAAGTGTTTTCAATGATCACGAAGGATCATAATAAGACTCGCATCGCAAAAGTGTTTCAATGATATTACTTTATTACATCGTTCAAAGCATCTCGAAACGTATGTAAACAATTTTTTAAAAAACTATTTCCCCAAAAATTGCTTGTTCCTTTGAGCAATATTCCTTAAGAACAAGTTGACTAGATTATGGTTTAGAGTCAATTTTCCCTTACCAACCCATAGAAAGATTAGAATGTCAAACCTTTTCAAAAATATGGCTAGTCTGTTATCAAAATACTTTGTACCTACTAACAGTACATCTAGGCTTTCGGATATCTTCTAACAACATAGCACAATGATAGTCTTTCTTTTTTATGAATCTATTCTTTTGAACTAATCTAACATAATTGAGTGTTACAGTTGGACATTTGAATTGATTCAATGCAGTATATAATTCTGAATATTACATAAAAATAATAACTATAAGCTTATGACTTCGTCTGTGCAGTAGGTTGTGATTGATTTTTATGAAATCATTCAATGGTGAATATTTCACCCCACTAGTTGCGATTTTTTTCTCTATTAGTTAATTTCTCAATTTCATGCAATTGGTTCCCTTTATGAATTTAAATAAAGCAAGAACAAATATTGGTGCAGAATAGTATGAATTCATATTATTTCGAGGTTTCTCGTCAGCTGCTTACAAACCAAAAATGTGATAGAATTTTTACATTGAGATAGAGTGAAAACAGTTGACATAAATGAGTGTAACCCAGTTATTTACACTCATTTATGTCAACTGTTTTCACTCTATCTCAATGTAAAAATTCTATCACATTTTTGGTTTGTAAGCAGCTGACGAGAAACCTCGAAATAATATGAATTCCTACTATTCTGCACTAATATTTGTTCGTGCTTTATTTAATTTCTCAATTGTTATTTTTAGAGTAATTAAAATAACCCATTGTATCGTTGAGTAGTAAAAACAGAATTCAGCGAAGAAAATTTTCTTTTCGACGAAGTTATTTACTTAATCTGTACATTTGTATTTATAGTTGTATGGTAAATATATATATATATGTCTATAGAAAGGTAGAAAGGGTTGCATCATAAAGTGACTCGAGACTCCAAATATCGAATGGAGTTAGATAAAAATAGAAAGATGTAGATAATTAACGGGTCAAAATTATGAAAGATAATTGTCCGCTTGACAGATATGAAGAAAAACGAACATAAAGGTCATAATAATAACTTGATAATAATCATGAAAAATTGTTAATGGATAATAATAACTGGTTACGGTTAAAAATCACAAAACACTAATTAAAAATATACCAAAACATGCTACAGAAGGAAATTAGGGTCAAGGAAGGATGAGAGGTTGGACGTATCGTTTTTACACACAGAGTCCGGGCCTCAACTGCGCATAAGTTTTTGATTCGACCTCCCTTCGATCCAGTTCATTTGATTGTGTTGATTATTTTAAAGGAAGATTCCTTCGAAGTGACGTGTCCAAAGTTGATTAGATGCTCCTGTATTGAGTTAGTAACTTTTGCATTCTCCTTTTAAAAGCCACTACGGATAATGTTCTGAGATGCGTTTGGAAAGTGATCGCTTTGTGCGGCCAATGTAACCTACCGTACAGGAGCAAGTAAATTTATCGATATGACCCAAAGAGAAAATTTGTCCTCAACATATCCCTGAATGATAAGCTGGCTTGAGAAGACAATGCGGAGCTTAGTTGAATAAGTTTTATTCAGGGGTTTTGAAATCGGTTTATTCAAGATTTCAGCAGCCATATCTCCTTTAAATTCGATATTCATAAAAAGTTTTCTTTTGAGCTGTTGTTGCTTTCTCAGGACGTTGTCTAAATGTTAAGTTCCTATAGATTAATCTAGGTGGATTAACACTATATAGTTTTCCGACGGTGATATTTAAGACTGCCATTGATTAGTCTATGTTACCATATTTTCATCCTTACTAGATTACTTCTATATTGCCATTAAGTCACACATTTTTCAGTATATTTGATATGTAGTTTGTGGTGGAATTCAGCACGCGTGTTTCGTCCGGCTTGGGATCCGTTCACAGGATTTACCTGAGCTAAGTATTGATGTTCACATGAAGACTTAAACGCATTACCTTTTGTTTCAAACACCATCGCATTATCCACACTATTGATCTTCAAGTTAACCAATACAATTATTTCATTCTAATTTAGCTTATGCTTCTTTCATTCAATTAATTCCATCTGATCTACCTGATGGAAATGCGAAAGAATCTTGGATTCGTATGTTATATTTGATCGACAATCCAGTAGATCTTAGTCATGAACGTTTAATATGTAATACACCGATTTTTGAAGAATATAAGTAAGTTATAAACTGTATTTTCTCTGTTTCACCCTGATATTTTTACTTGTTAAGGTATATCCTGATGATATGAAAGAACTTCTTATGGATTTTTCTTATTCCATATGGTTTCCATGACAGTTGTAATCTTTATCATTGTCCTGATGGATTATCATTCTCACATGTTCAGTGAAGTTAACGGTGTTGTTAAGCAGTTGACGCAAACCAAAGTTGTTTGTAAAACTTATAGAAACTTTTTACCGTTTTTAAGAATAAAATTTCCGTTATTTAAAGTTTTATCCTAATAATAGTTTCAATGTACAACGGCCAGCTTCGTGTTATCGTACAGCTGTGTGGCTTGACTTACAAGGTTGGAAGATATACTTAGGTACAGGCATTTGTTCTTAAGTGCCTGTGGATCATTATTCATGTGTTACAAAATCGTCAACTGGGTAATGTTGAGGCTAAATTCAATATTTTAGACAAATTAAAGATAAATCGTTTGATGCAGATGTGAAATTCCATCCATTGAATTAACTGGATTGTGTGAGTCATCTTGTACTTCAGCATATATTACTGACCAAACCAAGCTTAGACCGAAAAAGGTTGAACTAATTGACTAAACTAAAACATGACATCAATCCACGAAGCCAATGAGTGTTAGTCTGAATCGTTCAAAGAGTTGTAGACTTACTGAATTAGGCCCTCATTCAAATCGAATAATTTATGTGGTGCATATCTATTTGGTGCCCACTTGTACCAATGTTTATGTGTTTAAATAAATAAATAAAATAAAGAGTGAGGCCTTCAACTTGATGACAATTGTTGTTTGGCGACATATGGTAATATAGTTCAGAATTGGTCATAATGTTACTGATGAATTCACATTAGATTTTATGATAAATTCTTAACCTTTTTTGTCTACTTTTCGTTTGTATTCCCTTCCACTTCCATTAATATCGTTTCACTTCCCGTTAAATCTTTTTGATTGGTTAAATAATACGAGAATTTTAACTTATGTAATTTAGTTTACAGTTTGTTGAATAAACTGTTTTGCAGTTCTGAACTGATAAGATTCGATATAAATCGTAGGTGGATACTTTGTATGTCACTTTTATTAAATGGTTTAATGCAAACTATTAAATTTTCATACTGAGTATTAAAACTTCACATGGACTTTAAAACTTTGAATTTTTAGTTTTTTCTTAATCATTTCCAAAATAAAAATAAAAACACGCACTTTAAAAATTAAAAAAAAGATTACACCACTATCAGTTATAAATAACTCCAAAGTTTTGTGACACCAAGTATTCATGGTGTATTGACTTTTGCAGATTAAAACAAGCAAAGGAAAGTGGTTCAACGAATAAATTGCTTTTCATTAACTTCGTTATTGAAAAACTAAACCACCTTCTTCCACTTGTTTCTTTCTTTTTTATAGATTATTTTTTGTTTATTTAGGAATTTCAAAGGGGTTTAAGATTATTCAAATATGCATCAAACAATAAAGAATATTTTGTATTATAATTTGTCTAGATTGAACCAGTCAAATTTATTCATAAGTATGTTCAGTTTCCCCAGTATCAAATCACTAAGAGATCTTAGCTAGACCACTATTTAAATCTTGAAAGCACTGGGAGCCCATTTTGTTTTAGTATGGGGCTCCACAGCAGTTCTCATGATCCTGCGGCCGGAAATCGAACCCAAGCTCTTCGGTCTTGCACGCGAATACTTTAACCTTCAGACTACTGACCTGGTATCCAGTAGTGTTAACGTCTAACTACATGATTCAAAACTGTGAAAATCCTGCGATTTCCATAAATCTGTATTTAATTGTTAAGTGGGCAATTTAGTTAAAAGCATTGTTCACATCGTTAGCTTATTTATCATTTATTAGAGGTTTGTTAACTGAATAACTGTTTCATGTATAATAGATTACAAAAGAATTACACTGTTATTGTTTTTATTGTTGGCTCATTATTTCGATAACAATAGAAGTCAGGTCAACCTAGCAATTTCATCATGCCATCATTTCTAAGTGTTTGTACAACAATATTTATAGACTATTATCAAAGAAATAGTACCAAGGTATCTTTATTACAAAACAAAAACAAGTTGAGTAATCATTAGAAATTCTTGGGACGGCTTCGAATAGCACTACGAAACCTCCAGAGACTAAAGCAGCCGAAAAGATCTCATCCAGTTAGAAATTGGTAGAACCATCCCGACCGTTGTTGCTACCTTGACATGGTGGTCGGGCTTGTCTATCGTGATGAAGCAACCGAGTTATACTGGCTGGAACAACTGTTCCTCAAGGTCCTACCATGTCAGACAGGTCGGTTGAAGAGCGGTAAGACTAAAAGCGACAAACCCAAGGTCCGAAGGCGAAGTTGTACTGCTGGCTGTACAGAGGTGTGACAGCAGTAAGGTGTTTCCTTCAGACAACCAGCATTGCAGCGATGCTGCCTTCCCACAAGGAAGGGTGTGGTTAGAAAAGGTCGACCCTAAAAATGCACACCTCTCCTTACCTCACGGACTTCCGTCTCCGGCAGTAAGGCCCTTTGAAGAACGGAACCAAACAGAAAGGTATTTAGGTGGGTATTTTAGTATTCCGGCAAAACGAACAGATAATGGTGATCGTCTACTGCAACTGTGCTCAGACAATCGTTTATTTTTAGCAAACACAAATTTTAAGCATAAGGAGAGACATAGTTTAACATGGCGACCCCCTACACCAAACCAACGATGGACTCAAATAGACCATATTGCCATCAGTCATCATTGGAGAGGGTCGGTAGAAGATTGTCGCTTATTCTGGAGTACCTGCTTGGTGTCCGACCACGCCCTAATACGGGCACGCATCTGCCTGCGCCTCACTGGACGCAAAAACGCCTCAGTAAAAACACCCATTAGAACTGAATTGAGTAACGAGAAAACCAAAAGTAGGTTCCAGGAACAACTGAGGTCACACTTAGGTAGTTCTGAAAACTAGGCTGACCCAGATGTTGCTTGGAAAGCTATACTAACAGCTGTGGGAACAGCAGTGACATCTATGAGTGATTTAAACCACAGGGTTACAAAGCACCAATGGATTTCCTCAAGGTCTATTGCACTGATGGATTCTCGTAAACTCATCCCATCAGGCTGTGAACACGATGAAGAGCGACAACAAATCAGATCTAGGTTAGGCAAAAGTCTAAGGAACGACCGTGAGCAGTGGTGGGCAACGAAAGCAAAAGAGATGGAAAAGGCGGTGGCTATAGGGAACACAAAACAGCTCTACAGACTAATAAAAGAAACTGGAACTAATAAGTCAAGTGTAAGTGAGACTTACGGAAAAAGACGACACCCTCATCTGCTCTCAGTCCAGACGTTTAGAACGATGGGCGGAACATTTCAAAGAACAGTTCAGCTGGCCTTCAGTTACTCTACAACTACCCTCCATTCCCAGACAGTGTGAATGGGACATTGAAGTAGGTCCCCCAACTCTAGCAGAAGTTCAAAAGGCTATAGTTAATCTGAAACGAGGAAGGACAGCTGGTCCAGATGGATTGGCTCCAGAAGTCTTTAAGGATGATGGTCCAATTTTAGCGATTAGGTTGACTAATATTTTAGCTCAGATCTGGGAGTTAGACGTTATTCCATCTGACTGGGATTAGTTTAACTAATATAGTATCTAAAATACTAGCCTCGATAATTATCAGACGCTTAACTAAGACTCGTGAACTGCAAACACGAGAGAATCAAGCTGGCTTCAGACCTGGTCGTGGCTGCATCGATCACATATTCACCATTCGTCAGGTTCTAGAACATAGGCATACTTATCGGCATCCGACAATGGTGATGTTTCTTGACTTAAAAGCAGCATTTGATTCGGTAGACCGCGAGATTATGTGGCAGTGTCTGTCATTGAAAGGCGTACCTGAGAAGTACATAAACCTTGTGAAGGCTCTTTACTCGAACACTACCAATCGAGTCAGAGCTTATGGCGAACTGTCATCGGTTTTTGCAACCTCAAGTGGTGTCCGTCAAGGCTGTCCACTTTCTCCATTTCTGTTTAACTTCATCATAGACCTATTGATGGAAATAACATTCTCGTCTACTGAATTCTCGGGTATTGATCTCCATCCAGGAGATCCACTTATCGACTTAGAATACGCGGATGACATAGTCCTGTTTGGTGAAGACGCTGATAAAATGCAGTCTTTTGGTAGCACTGAGCAACAATGCCAGAATGTTTGGAATGCGCTTCTCTCCCTTTAAATGCAAGTTGTTGCTTCAGGACTGATCTGCGTTAACACCTGAACTAAGGATAGGGAGTGAAGTAGTCGAACGCGTTGACAACTTCACTAATCTTGGAAGTCTGATCAGCCCTAATGGGTCGGTGTCTGACGAAATCTCAGCACGGATTCGAAAAGCTCGTTTGGCTTTTGCCAACTTACGTCACCTATGGCGAAGGCGAGATATACGTCTATCAATAAAAGGACGAGTATACTGCGCGGCAGTCCGTTCTGTTTTAATTTACGGCAGCGAAACATGGCCATTAAGAGTAGAAGACACTCGTAAGCTATTAGTATTTGACCACAGATGCCTTAGAAATATTGCTGGCGTCTGCTGGGATCACCGGGTGAGTAATAATGAGGTTCGACGCAGGGTATTAGGGAATGATGGCAAATCAGTTGGTGAGGTTGTGAATCTTCATCGACTGAGATAGTTTGGCCACCTGTTACGTTTGCCTGAACATCGATTACCACGACGTGCAATGCTATCCGGTATTGGAAATGGTTGGAGGAAAGTTAGGGTCGGCCAAACCAAAACGTGGCATCAGTGCTTAAAGTCACTAACTTCTAGTCTGTGCCATGTTGGTAGATGCAGACTACTTGGTTGTGGTCCGCGTGACTATCTTAACCAATGGTTGGAGACTCTTGGTGACATGGCTCAGAATCGATCACAATGGCGTCGGTGTATACACTCCCTGTCTTCCCTTAAACTAAGAGATTAAAATCACTTCATATATTTCTTTCTTCTTGTACTATATCTCCATATGCAATCGTTCTTTTATGTATTACCACCTCTGAATAAACTACTTTTATGAATTCGGTGTTCATCTTGTTGTGCTGATACGGTATGGCAACCTGGACCGATGCACATATGTGCCTGGTCCTACGTTGTAGCTGACTGACTGGTAGAACCATTGGAATATCAACGTGGCATGCTACGACTGGACGATAGCATAATATGTCCCCTTGCGGGCGGGCTGAATTATAATGGTGTTATGGCCAATATTAATAATTATAGATACCCACGTTTTTCCCTACATTTTTATTCTTACCCAATAATCACTTCCCCGTCTTTTGATTTGCCATTGTGGGGTTCTACAAGTTCAAGTGACATTAGTTGTATATCGTATTCTGCCGTAATCAAGTAGAGGCGTAACAGAAATTAAGAAATGGTTGACACTGTAAGTTATTTATATCGAAGCAAGTGATTTCAAAAATCCCTAATTCAAGAAAGGAGTAAGTTATGTAAGTGAAAACTCAATTAGGTGATTTCAGTATTATTTTTTATCATGGAAACTCGTTCAATAAAACTATAGGAATTGTAGTATTGAAGCTGTTCTGTATCGCTAATCGATAATCACTGATGCTTGCTAACCAAACTATATTAAATGCAATTCACGAATAAAGCTTCTCAATCTAGTGTCTTATGAATGGAATTAAAGACAGTAATAATTTTTCATATTTTCACCTATCATCATTATTTGATACAGAAAAGACTGTCTGATGGAACTTTCTTCGTAGACTGTATGTTGTGATGTCATTTTTCGTGTTCAGCATGTTTTACGATTGTCTTTGTTTCATCAATACTATTTTGCTATCTCTTTAATTACTTAGTAGCTGGAAACCTGTAAATCCCTTACGTTCAAAACGCTTCATTAAAGCTATCATTTGTCGTATATTTATTTCAATCAAAAGCTGACAAAGGATAAAAGTTGAACAAGTGCAGCAAAGTTTTACGTGATATTAATCTGTATTTAAATTTACTTGGTCCCCTACAGTTCATCATTCGCTTCTCTTTATTTCATAACCCAACTAAATCAACTTTGTATAATCTATCATTCTTTACTGTGTCGATTTTATGTACCAACTGATAAATTGTTTGGTCATTATTTTTTATATTTAATGAGACTAATAAAAATGTTATTATTTATCCAAAAGTAAATTTGGGTCTTCATAACATTCAAACCAACAGTCTCCAATAAGTTCGATGAGTCTAATCATGATGGCAGGTATGGGTACATTTGTTAACGAGGTCATCATATCTCTTTAGTCTCCGAATTTCACATTCAGCTGTCGTATCATAAAACTATGTAAGAGATCGTGTATCTATAACAACATTATCTATTAATAACATTTATAAAGTACTGATTAAATTAACTCTCTCTCTTTGTGTTTGTGTGTGTCTTTTAGGAAATACAATTGCAATGATAGAATTCGATGGACATCTGTTTATTTCCCTTATCTATATCATCAAGCCTTACGTGGTCTGTCAATGATCGTGGATGGATTTTTGGGTATTCAGCCAAGTCTTACAGTTGGTATTGATCCATTTGTTGGTGTAATTCCAGAACTTTATGGTCCTATCGGTCGATTATTTCAAAGTTACCCTTCATTTCATAAGTACACAGATACACAAAGCGTGAACAATGATGATGGTAACTTATTGATTGAAATCTTTTTGTAAAATATGTAATATGATATATGTAAAAATCTGTGGTTATAAATGGTCTAAATCTATGAAGTGTGTGTTCTATGTATAATTTTATTAGTTAGACTGACATTTATATAATTTATAAACTATTATACTCTACAGTGTGAAATGCTTTAAGGAGATGATATATCGTATATCATGTACGTACCATCCATTTCTCTTACCTATATATTAATTTTGAACGGATTGTCTAGTAATCTTATTTATAATAATAAATTCAACTTCTCTTTGATCAGTCAATTTATTTACCAGTTGTTGGAATTTGTTACAATTTTGTTCATGACTTCTTTGTAACAGTGCATCGATTCATTGGTCAAGGCACTTGGCTATCAATGATTAAGTTACTAATTCGGATTGTCTCAGATAGTATCATTAGCCCTTAAACAAGAAAATTCTACTCAATATCAAGTGAATGAACACATTTAGTTACTGAGGTCCAAATAGAAATTGTAATGAAGAAACCTCGTTACTCTCACTTTAAAAAATACTCTGGAATTAGTTGTAATGTCGTTACAGTTTCCTGTATTACAAACATATTTATTTATATAATTTTCTTTAAAACGATTATGAATAACACCCAGTTAACATAAGTGCTGATTATTTTCTCTATGTTATGCACATCAGAAGTCAGGAAAGCCCTTATGACGGGTTTTTCAAATATTCAAGGTGGAACACGATTGGCTGCTGGTAGTTTTTCTACAGAAAAAGCAACTAGTAAGTAATTGTTTCTATTTTTAAAATGTTTTAATAACTAAAGTATTTTCCTTAAGTCACATGCATTCTAAACAAAGGTGGATAGTGGTTAGCAATGAAATCCAGGACGCGCGTTTCGTTTTACTTGGGACTCGTCAACTGGATGTACCTGCATCCCAGAGTTGATGTTCTCTCTAGGACTCGAACACAGTACCGGCTAAGTGGCAACGCGATGGAGTCTGAAGTGAACGGTACTGGGTTCGAGTCCCAGAGTGAACATCAACTCAGATGCAGGTACATCCAGATGATGAGTCCCAAAAAGGAAGAAACGCGCGTCCTGGATTTCAGTGCTAGCCACTATCCATCCTTGCTTGTAATGCTAGTAAAATAAGGCAATATCGAGGCAATCCGCACAGGATGTACATATGCCAATAAGAGACTGATCAATCGCAGTCCTAAACATCAATGGGAAGATTCAAACAAACAATCAAAAATGAATTGAAGTATTTTCCGTTTTCTTGAGGACACTTTAGTGTATGTTCTGCGATATTGTTTTTTCCAGAATCGATTTAAAGAGTGTACTTCAATTCATATAATTATTCTTCATATGTTTAGTATTTTCATCCCATCAAATTCCTATGAAAACTGTAGGGTTTTTAATGTTCTGGTAAATTTTGGCGAATACACTTATTTCTAAGATTTGCGTGTATAACTCGTTTTAAGTAAAGGTCTTTCAGTCGTTGTTATCACACATTCATTGATTAGAACGACAATTTCTAATCCTTTCTTATTCACGAACTTCAAATGAATGTTTTGTAAAATTAACATCCTGAATTTGGCATTTGTCTAGCATTTTATGTCTTTCTTCTGTTTTGTATACAGTTAGAATCGACTAACTGATAGTACTCTCTTTGTTTGTTTAGTCCATTTTCAGAAGTGTGGAAATAAAATTATTATATGAAGTATGTCCTTATGTAGCGTCACTAATAATTGTCTGTAGTAGAATTTGTACCGTTCGACGTGTTTCATTGGCAATAGGAATTACATTTAGCCTATTACTGATCCAACAGTTGATTAAATCCATTTAGAAGTCTTGTTGAAAGTATTTATAAATCATTTTTTACTTACGCTCACTGTAGTTAGTAGTTCACTTCCCTGTCAATACTAAAAATTTAGACAATTATTATAGAAATTTGTGATTGATAAATTCCCAGAGCGATTGTCTCCAGCAATGGCCTGCTGAATTTGAGCAATAATTTTATTGTTTTTTACGTTTACTTTACGTTTGAATAACAAGTGACAACTCACCAAAGTTGACAGTTTAACAGTATTTGAAAATTAACAGGTAATAATTCCTTAAAGATTAATTTGATAAAACTTCAACGATTCCTATCTATGATTATCGGTTTAGCTTACTGAGATTTTATTAACTGCTTCAAATAGGAGCTGATAAGTTATCATTCGAGTTATAAAAAAAGTAAAGAAGCGAAAATCCCTCTGTAAAATATAAAGTACAATATATTTTTGGACAATTATTTGAGTTCACATAAAATAAAGCTGAAAAAACTAGATAGATTTAATATTTATTCGGAAGTATCTGAATCATTTATGCACACTTAGGTATATGGTAGATAAGATAAAGAGTAACAGGTTTTTTAAAGGTTCATTGGCTTAATGGTTAGTACATTAGACTTTAGATTGTTGGTTCGAAGATTGATACCGTGTTTTAATTATTTTGATTCACACTAAAGTCGATAGAATGCTAGTAGAATCACTAATTCATATAAATTAAGTTTGACTGAAGGCTGAGTACATCAATCTCTACTCGATTGCTGACTATTATAAGTCAGTTTACTAATATAACTGTATACTCTTTTCTAAGTTATGTTGCTCTTTACATTCTCTGTCACAATACGCTTAAAGTGATTTTTCAAACTATTGCATTGATATTCCTACCTAGGAAAATCTAGATTAGCAAGCGTCGTCACGTCTGCTGGTATTCTTGCTTCCGCTGGAACTTCTGGAGGTTTGAAATCTGGGTTGGCTCCATTTAATAGTACTTCAGTACATATTCCTCATACCAATAGTAGTTCGTTAACTCCTATTGAAATTAATGCTTCTTTGACAAATGCTTTTCAACAGTCACAAACTCCTAGTTCACAAGCATCTTTGCAGTTATCAAATGCTTCAACAAGTGGACAGTCAGTTAATCAAAAATTAGGAAATATTCCACCTATATTGTCTTTAGTTAATAGAAATCTACAGGTCGACCATTTACAGAATTTAGCTACAAATTGGTTATCAACCTATTCTCAAATTATCTTAAATCCTCAAAGACCAGAAATAAACTCATTGTTACAACTATTTGGTGCTTGGCTTTTTGAAGCATCAGTATCAGGAGTTAAACAAGATTTAAGTGGTAAGTAAATCAGTTTCCAGTAATTCACCTCTTTTTTCTGTCTTATTTTATGGTTGTTGACTAAATTAGGATAATGTTGAACATTGATTTCTTAACCCAAAATGTACATTTGATGCCGATGTTTATTACACCATTCGAATATCTCTCAGCATTTTCAATCATTTCTAGATTATATAATAATAATTATTATTTTCATAATAATAATAATAATAATAATAATAATAATAATAATAATAATAATAATAATAATAATACCGTCAGAAATTAATGAAATTCAACTTAGGCTTCATATCCAATGTTTTTGTCATGTTCATCAGTTCTCAAACTGATTTCACTCTACTAAATAATCGATCTCCTCTAAAATATATTCAGTTAGTATATGTGATGCCTAAATTTTTTCATCAGTTTTTCTACTACTTATATTTATGATAGTACTTATTTTAATTATGTTTGTGTTCTCATATATTACAGCAGATTTTTTATACTCGTTAATTTATACATTTATATTTCTTAGAATAATTTCATTTAGATATTTTACTTATTACGTTCATGGTAACGTTCCTTTCTAAACGAAATACCAATTTTCATCTATTCATCCAAAATAATTTTGTTAGAGATATTTTTCTAAAAAAGGTCCAATATAGTTGACTTCTGTATTAATAGGACCTTTTTTTTACTGAAATTACGACTATTGAAGACCTGGCGAAACTGAATAGCCATTTCGTTCTAGTATGAGACTCTTCAGTAGTGCGCATCTACGACCCCGTAAACAAGAATCGAACCCAGGACCTTCAGTCTCACTTTTGTTATTTTTAGTTTACTATTGGTAATGCTCACGATGACATTCGATTAAACCTTTCCACTATTTACATTCTTTTATCACCTCTACATGTCTAGAAAAAACACTTGTCTATTCAGCAAACTAATACTTTTACTAATGTTAATCATCAGTTAATCAAATCCAGTTTGAATAGTGTATATCTTTTCTAACTTAACCCGTTGTCGCAAAATTCAAATGTTTTGAAAATAGACATCATGCAGCAGTATCAGGTACTTCCCATACTGTTACCTCCGAAGGAAAATCGTTGACAAAAGTTGACGGATACATCGTAGTTGGGCAGATCTGGTTAGCCCCTTAATGGATTTGAAGTTTATTCTTTATTTTCTTCTGAATCTTGAGTTTTAATACTTTTTTTATATTTCTTATTTCTTAATTTCATTTGTTCTTTTTACATTATAGTCTCTTATTTTAACTTTTATTGATACTTCAGTTATTTTAACATCTTTGCTTTCTTATCTCTTGTAATAACATGTGGAGCACTTTGGATCAGAATATATTTGTATCAGGTCATAAGTTGTATATCAACTACTTTCTAAATAAACGTAGAATAGGTTCAGAATTACATTATATTTAAAAATTGTAAGGGGATTTCCAATAAATGAATCTGAATAATTGTGTTCAATTTTGTGCTCTGTTACTTGGCTTCATATTTCTATAAATTACAAAGCCTAACCTAATTGAACAATATGCCAAAGATATTGAGGCTAGTTACATGTAATGTTTTCACTTATTCAACCATCGACAATCTGATTCTGCAAATAAAAGGTGAAACATATTGAGTTGATACTGCAATATGCTAATTTTTGGCAAATATTCAGATAGCTTTGATAGCTCTTAAGTTGGTGATCTATCGATCAGTAGTGAAGATTTAATGTATCAAGCGAACACGTGTTACTAAGTCCGATAAGTGTTCAAACGTTACAGGCTTCAAAAAAATAAGCATCTTGGAGGTGGGTATCTCACTCGTCAACTATACTTAAAATCTTCCTATTATTATTGGTCTTATTGCTTCTTTATGCTAGTTAAATATAGAGTTATTATATATGGAAATTAATCTTGGAGTAGCAGTCACACCGTTTATATCTGATATAATGGGTGGTTTAAAATATTTCTCTCTCTGGTATGCTGCAATATTATGTCGATACGATAATGAGACTTATCACGTTATATCAGATCCTGGATTCACGACTCACAATAGCGAAGCAGATTAACACTAGATAGTATTTTATTCATCACAGTTACGAGCAGTCACTTTCGACGAGCCCAGGATAGAAATCAATGAGAAAAGAGAAAATCACATATTAAATAGTCGGTGGTCTCTGTCTGCTTGTTCACGCTCAACGACCGATCATATTTTACTTTCACTATCACTTATCAGTGCCATTTTGGTGTTCTGCACCAGGATTAAACTTTTAAGAGTTGATCATTTTGTCTCTTGTATAATAAATATCACTCGATCTTATTAATTATTTTATATTCCTAAAATTGAAGAGTCATCATGTTAGAAGTAACTCGACTAGTCTCTATAACCACGTAGCATTTCTGTTTTGTCGTACACTTGGACACCAGAATTCCCTACATCTTTCAGTCAACTGTAGAAAATTGTGGAAATTGTTGAATTTTTAAAGTTTTATATTTATTTTTTTCGGATTGTTTCTTGTTTGTTCGCATTACTCTTATTTGTCTCATCGGTGTTTGCCATCATAAACTTAATCATCCCAATGTTCCTCATAATTAAGGAATTTCTTTTATGCTATTGTACAGTAGATTTTTGTACGAAACAACCTATTCTACTACTTTGCTTATTTGTAGATTATGACTGTAAGTTTATTTTGTGTGTTTTTCCCATGTATTAAGTTTCACGTATGTTAACTTTTCCTTTCTTTATGTGAAGACCACTTGTCTTTGGTTAATTCTTTCTAATAGAAGAACAAATGGCCAAAATCTTGTGTTTTTTAAAATTGTATCTAGGAGGATATGCTACTAGTGATATTGGTTTATTTAGGTTGAATTTTTTATTGCTTTTAAGATTTAAGCACATTATTTGGAGGAAATTTGCTAATTATTTATTATTCTGTGTACTAGGAGGTATACCGTATTCGTTGTTCATACTGATATAGAATGCAGCATGAATGATAGTTCTTTTTAGTCCCATAGAGTTGAGTATCAAATGCGTAAACCACTTTACTTCAATCGTCATCCTCTTTATTTTATATTTTCATGATGAAGTGAAATATTCCAAATTTTTTAGCAAGATAAATTTGAACAATGTTTTTGTAGAGTTGTTTATTGTTCTCTCATTTTATGACAGGTATTTTTCTGCCTGTGCATGATAAATCAGTATTCGTCATAATTTCAATTTTGTTTACTCACTCACCACTCTGGTGTTTTTTCTCTTAAAAAAACTTAGTGCGTTAACTTCGTTAGCTGATAACTGTTTCAATCACCAATTTCTTGGTGTTAGATAATGTCGTTTCTTTTTCATCAACTAAATATATACGTCTGTACTTTATGACGTAACTGACAGTTATAAAATTGTAGAGTTCAATCACTGATAAGTTTATGTTATTACTTTGCTTTAATGCATCAATAATTAAATTATCTACGCGAGAATTAATTTATGAATTGTTATGTCTTCTAAAGTGAATGATAAGTCATTGAAGAGCTGAGTCTCCCTTAAATCCTATTGATCATTATCAATATTAATAGGATGAAGATAGAAAAATACGGCTTGTTAAACTTATTCACTAATTAGTGAATAAGAAACGTAATTAATAATTTGCTTTGACGGATCAATTATTTGTACTCATTAATTACTTGGTAGTAATTAGTTTCATGTTGTCTAATGCCTCTTTTTGATCGAATTCTCTCAGTTAAGTCACAATATGACTTTATATCAGTCTAAATGACTCAGCATTACGGTTTACTTTCTTTGAAGTTAGGGAAGATTCTGTTAACAGTCAGTGGGTCATAGATGATCCTGGTTACATCTTATTTGGTAATTGTCAGTAAGTAGTATTTGTAATACCTAAGATTCTGACATTCCCCTTTGTGACTAGAACTTATGTCGCACTGTATCGTAATCAGACGATATCATTGAGATATTGCAAAATGTTTTTATAAATACCATATAATACTAAATATTCTGATATGAGGCGTCAAAGCTACAACCTTAGTTTGCAAGTTGTTTAGCAAATAATACCTAAATAACATGTTGCTGTAGGCTTTTTCTTTTCAAATTATCCCAATAATAATATGATTCCTGACTATTCACATTTCCTGTTAAAATACTACTACTACTGCAGTCGTTAATTAAATTAATATAACCTGAAATATACTGAGAAGGAATTGTCTTTGTAGGTGTTTTACAGATAGAAATCAGACAGGACTAAGTTTACGGAAATTTCCGTTCATTGTTTCTGACAGTATCAGTGTTATTTTTAAATAATTGATCATATATCGTCTTGTGTTCAACAACCTTGAGCATGTTTAAATTATAGAACCTAAATATATAGTTTACCGATCTAGGAAAGTTTGGTTTTTAACCATCAATATTCATCACGATGATTTATGGAATCAATTGTTTAAAAATTATAGTTTTGGTAGATATTCCCGGTAGAATTTTAAAGTATACTCTGTTCATATTGGACAAGTAACCATTTGGAGGATAGATTTTTTAATGTTCGGTCATACTTGTATACGTTTGGCCTACTCTTGTATAATAATTCACCTATAAATTCTGTATTAAATTATACGAACATAACTAATATCCTGGTTGAGTTGTGAAAAAGCTGGTGGATTGAATTAGACTGTTCGGTGTTACCAGTATATTTATCCTGTTGTGATTTTTTAAACAATTTACTTCGCAACAATTATGTATAGATATAATGAAAATTATATATCATTTGAGCTGTTGATGTGCAATTCGAGTTATCTTGTAATAATTAGAGTAACCCATTGTGTAATTGCGAATTCGGCGAAGAAAAATTGTTTTCGACGAAATTATTTACTTAAGCTGTACATTCGTATTTATAGTTGTATGATAAATAAATGTTTATAAAAGGATAGAAAAGATTGCATCATATAGTGATTCGATACATCAAATACCGAATAGGGTTACGTGATAATCAGAGAGTTAGATAAGAATAGAAGAATGCAAGTAATTAACAGGTCAGAATTTTGAAATGTAATATTCCACTTAACAGATGTGAAGAAAAATGAAAAAAAACTTAAAGGTCATAATAACAATTAAATAATCGTCAGGATAAACCCCATTTTATATCTTAAATCTCGAATCCCTTTATGATGCAATCTTCTCTTTGTCTTACGTAAAACATTAAACTGACTGTGTACTAAGGAAAATTGTTTCACACCTTTCCCCGTGCTCTCCTCAAATCTGTCGTTTAATAATATCTATAGTTCTAGAAAGGATTTCACTGGGTATTATTGTTTTATTATTGATATGAAGACCAATACCTTGTGTGATAACGAACATTATGATAATAATGAACTCGAGTAATCACACTTGCTAATTCAGTTTCATGCTGGTTAATGGAGAGTTATCACACTAACACTGTAATTTCATTTAATTATGTATTGGTATGAAGCAGTTGAAGAAAATAAATTATTATGCACTAGTGTAATGATTTTCAGAAAATCTTTAACAAAATGTTTTTTATAAAAATAATAATGATTCCACATACAATCAAAAGTAAATGTTTCCCATGGAATTCTATTAATCAGATCTCACATGGAAATAATGATTTACAACCAATTAAATAATTATTTTAGCAGAAAGAAAGTTTGACCGTGGAAGAGTTGAGCATGTATTCCAATAACACTTAAACTAATCAGTATTTGTTTAATATAATTGGTTATATCCTCAAAATTTATCCTTAGATGTATCAAAAATACTACAATCGGTTTAATGTCAGTCATTTTACATCGTATGTTTACATATATACAAATTTCGATTTCCTCCCATTCATCTTGCTAAATAGTTTACTATATGTTACGTTTATTATGTTGACTTTGCCTTATGTTATATAAAGACGGGTTCTTTAGAATGCAGCTGGTATCTTAGCTTGGGTTTTTGTGTGTGTATTTACAGCTAACCGTTTTTTTGGTAACTAACTAACTTACAAAGATTTCTGTTCGAAAATTGTGGATTTATTGTTGTTGGTAATATTTTTCTTATTCAGTCTGTCCTATTGAAGTCTTGAATTTCATATTCTGTTAAATGTTTGCAAAAAATCCTATCAAAAGTAACTATTGATGTCACCTTATGATTTCACAGTAAACTGTTTCCCGAAGACATATTCGTGGTAATTTTATGGTACATCCCAGGATATATATGGAGAGAGAGAGAGAGAGAGAGAGGAAAGTCTGTCTCAAGGAAAAAACTAAAAATTTTCTATATGCGTTTCGCGACTTTGCTCATTTCGGAAGATAGGTCACTACTGGTCGCTAATGGAATTTTAGCTGAAATGTATAAGACAATTTGGTATTTGTCAGTTTTAGCTTACCAAACAGCTTATAAACTATCGTGTACCACTTTATGTGTTGAACATATATTGAAAGTTGTGAACAATAAGAGTAAATCAAACTATATGGCTGTTAACTTTCACTGACTGAAGCAGCTCGGTCGTATGTATCTCCCGTCAAGTCATCGTCTACTTTTACTTGCAATGCTCACTAAACTGAGCTAATGGCGAACTGTTTGTCTAAATTACCCAAATAAATCAAGACTTATAGGATGTTTTCATGATAAACCAGTGATAAGTGGCATGTTTAGTATAATCGAAAATCAGTGACGACGTTTGGATTTAATCAACTCTATTCTGTACTCTATGTCAAGCCTTTTACGATTATTTTATATTCCTATCTAAGCCCGTATTTGACCACGTCTAGTGTAATATCTTTCCATTTTGATTGATTTCTATCTTGATGTACTGCTGTAAGGTTTTAAAAATGGGTGCTGTTTATCTTTGTACAGCATTGTATGTTGCTATCTTTGCCTCTTTCTATGATATTTTACTTCCTGTACAGGCGCTTTATTAGTTTCGGTTTAACAGCATTTACTTTCGCTTTAATTGTTGTTGTTACCGTCGTCACTTACTAGTTTATTTAGTGTTTTTATAATTATTCATATCTTCTTTATCTATAAAAATACTTGGGTTTATTTTTAACAGTTTATTTCAAAAGGCTCCCAATGAAATGTTATAAAGTCGTCAGGCTGTTTACTATTGTTTTGTTACAGTTGTAGTTGAGTCAGTTATCTTATTCCAACCAAGATTCAGTTAGGCATTTGAACAGAGAGAGGAAGTATTTTTCACTTCTTTCGTTATTTCCTAAAATAAGTTGATTAACTTTCGTTTCATATGATATGTTAATATATTATGTCACTTCTAAGGTACTCAGTTTTATTTCTCCTTATTATTGAACTATTTTTTCTTTCAGTTACTGTGATCAGTCATCGAGCTACATTAATTGATAGTAATCGTTTTCTAGTTGGTCGTGCTGAAGCCCTTGGAACACTATGTCGAATAATGATCTACGCTCAACGTGGTCGTTTAGCAGAGGAATATCTTACACGATTTTATTTATGTCTTTATTATGCATTGGTTGTTGATCCAACGGTTAGTTTATGATATGAATCAAAATAACATCTTAATAATAATAAGGATAATGCTATGCATAGAAATTGTTTATTTATCATATGCTACTCAGTTGTACTAACTTGATAGTAATGTAATTAATTTATATTAGATAGGTTTATGATCATGAAATTTTTAAGAACGGTAACTTATTCTTCTATGAATTTCATGTTTATTGACAATTTAAGACTTTTATAGTTAGCGTCTATATTAGAAATAGATAAAAAATTTAAAATTAGACTGATATTTTTATATGGGAATAGTTGGACATTTGAGATTCACTGGTTTGATCTTAGGTTCAGCTTATGAAGAGTGACTGTAGTGTAAGATTATACTTATGGTATTTTATAAAATTAAAGAATTTAAACTATCTTTTTTGCTTGTTGAACTAAACATGGATATCTGTAAAACCCTAAAATTTGATTTATTTAAGTCAAGAGTGTATACTGCTAATTTCTAGTCAGCTTCAAATTAATTTCAGCCCACAGTGAAAACAGTCTTCATATTATTCAATATAAGTAATGAACGAAAATATTAAAATTTAGCATAGATAGTATCAATAATAGTAATAATAATAAATGAATAAATAAATAACAGTATTTGAGTAGAAATAAATCGATAAAACTTACATTTGTATGTATGATTTCGAGGTAGTTTCAATTGAATGATCAATGGTGTTTCTGTTCTGGACTGATTTAACTGGGAAATCGCTAATCAGTTCATCATTCGAACCGTTTTCTTATCTTAAATAAATTTAAATTATCCACACTATGGTCGCCTTCGTTTATATTCTTAAACGTCATGCTCTTTATTTGTTAGTCGAATGCAAATAGGTGTTGTGGTATATATATATATATATATATATATATATATTAACTACATTGTAGAAGCATCCACTTCAGATTAAAGAAAATCTATTTGGAGTAATTTTTGCACATACAACATTTTACGTAAATGTATCTACTATTTGAGCATGTGCTTAATTAATTAATACTTGCACCACATGATAGTCATCTATAAATTCTCTGTGAATGTAAACCATAGTTATCCACAATTACATACATATATTCTCGTAAGTATTATTATTATTTGGTAATGAGATACATTTTAGTGGTGCTCACGAAAATATACACATATATTTCAAGCTTATTTACAAATGTGTCAGTGTATATTATATTGCATGTATTTGTATTCATAAGAATTGAATTCAACTAACCATTTGTCTTTATTGTTACTATTTTAATCAATGAAATAATTGTAGAATTTTTCAATTTTATTAATTTTTTACTATAGGAACATCATAAAGAAACACTACTTTTTTCTCTCTTCGTTACCCATCTTATTTTCTTACTTGATTTCAGGTTAAAAATGATTATATTTTATGTTTAGTGTTATTCTATTCAATTGATTTACTTCGTGTTGATTTACCCGGTATCAATATCTTGATACCACGTATATATGGTGCTTGTCAGCATGTTTTAAAAGAAGAAATTAACATGTAAGTTGTTATTCCTTATCCCGTGATTGTTGAAAGAAAATTATCTTTTTCATTAAGATATTATTATCATTGTGATAAAAAGAAGTCCATTCGTTGATGAGTATTGATAACGTGGAACATTTGAGCCTTACATTAAGGTGTAGTTGAGATTTATTTATTTATTTTCTATTTGACTGACGAACTGTGCTTTCATATTTTGTTATTTCACTAACTTTAATGTTAGTTGATTTATTGTGACAAAAGACTCATAAATACATACTCATATTTCTCGTCGGACGTTTTTTTGTTTGACAATCATGTACATGTTTGCACGCGAGACCGAAGGTCCCAGGTTCGAAACCCGCGTTTGGGATTGTGGATGTGCACTGCTGAAGAGTCCCATACTAGGACGAAACGACCGTCTGGTGCTTTGATGTTTTCAATCGTGGTCTAGCTTAGATTGACTCATGTATTCAACTATTAAGATTACTACAATCTCCACAAATCTCCATTCTGATAATTATGTACATATTGGTTAATAAAACTGAATGTTGTTGTTTTTCCTGTGAATAAAATTAAGATACCTATTCGAAGTAATCTAGTGATTTTTATATTACAATTTGATGTTAGCTAAAGTATTTTGAGATTTTCACAATATCATTAGATATCAGCTAAGTTAGAATTTTTAGTGGTAACGTGAACATTCTAATCGAAGTTAATATCAATAAGCATGTGATTCTATGTTTCAAATTAGAAGTTTCTGAAAAACAATAAATGTTCATTACTTATTTCTATGAATTCACACATATAATTTATCCAAAGTTAAGAATAAATTTAATACAACTGAATCTAGTTATGCTGAGTTTTCATTTAGTTGACAATAATTTTTTTTTGATATATGCGTTTTTTTAGCTGAGAATGCAGTTCTATAGTATACTATATTCATTTCACTGGTTCTTTGTTGCCATCACCTGTGTCAGTATTTTTTTTTGCTTAACGAAGCTATTACTTATCTGTTGCAGTACTATTTCCATTTTTTATACAAGTATTTCTAAATCTGATATGGTTAGATTAACATGCAACAACTCATAAACCTATTCATTTTAATTCTGAACAGGATTAGTTATAACTCGAATAGATCAGCTATCTGTACCACTAAAAGGCAAAACCAAAAAGATAGTTACGTCTCATTGATAATTGTTGATAAACATGAGAGTGGTATTTAGGTTTTTTCGCAGTGATTACCTCTATACGTAAAGAAGATTATATTATACGGGTTTTGTTAGCTACATTTCATTTGTTAATCGACAGGATTCACTTAAACAAATAAAGCATTACTTATTCCGGTTTCATAGCACTCATTTTATCATCAGTCTTTTATTGTAAGAGTATTTTTGTAGAACAATTTAGAATTTTCTTCTGTTTTTTCAATAGTTTGAAAAACGAAAAAGTAGAAATTTTGCTTTAACGTCATAGCGTTAGTCCTGACAAGTTAAGGCTCTGTAATTTATTTGATCACCATTATATAAGTATTGTTTATTTATTGAATCTGACAAATTACTGATTATTTTACTGCATTAACTTTTGTTTTCAATTTCACCATTAGTCATAATGTGTTCTCATGTAAATACTACCTTTTTTGTTCTAGGAAACCTGAATTTTTATCACCAACCTTGGTTCAACGTGCAGCTATACATCAGCTTATGTCAATGGTATGTATTCCTATTCAATTTAAAGGCCCACATTTAAAACGTAAGTAGATAGTGGGACCATTATAACTTCAAATTATAATAAACTTGATATATTTTTGTCGAGGTATAAATAACATTTTAATCACCTTGATCTTACTTACAATAGTATATTTAGTCTGATCAATCAGTTGTGAAGCACATCCTTACGGAAGTTATTTTTGTTGTTATGCTGAAATCACTTATTCAGTGTGTAGTGTTATTTATCGTATAAGTGTACGAGCATTCACGATATTGATCGTGTTTCCCAAAAACAACAGTTGATTTGGAAGTGTATTGATTTTCTAAGCTTTGATATAGATTCTGAGTGTTGATAATCAACAATTTCATTAGACCACGTATTCTCGATTTGGTGCATTTTATTTTTATTGGGACCACTAAGTTATTTTATTACTTTGCATTATTTATAGTTTATACGGGTAAATTTAGTTAAACATCCAGTGGTTTGTTGAATATATATATGATAGTTGTTGTTTAACTATTTACTTGTATTGTCGAGCATTCACCGTACTTGTTGTAACACTTATTTCTTGAATCATGCACACTACAAATGTTAGTAGGGTTCTGTCAAACTGATGATTACAACTTTTTGTGGTGTACTATTCAATGTAATTTTTGCCACACTGTCCAGAAGGGGAAATAGTATTATTGCCCCTAGATTATTCCAATGTAGTGTTCCAATTTATTGATTCATACTTTCATATTGATAGATATAATCACATTGATATTTTAAAATAAAAGATATCACCTTTGTGTTTATTTGATTTGGCTTTCAAATGACTATAAATCATATATTTCCTGCTTCACCCCTAATAGCGTTGTGAATTAGATTCATATAGTCAATCTTTCCCTCCGAATATTGTTTTGTATTCTAGCCAGAATTTATAAACTTATGTGTAGTTTAAACTAAAAACTAATAGGAATCGTCAAAATTATTGTTGCTACTTTTAATAGGAATCAAGTAGGTAAAAGAAGCACTCAGTAGCCGGGTCTATTATTGAACATTTAGTAAACCTTTTATTATCATGACTTGGAAATATAGTTGAGCTAATAAAATATTATCTGAACTTTACTAAGTTACTTCAACATTACCCATAACTACTTGATTCCGAAGAATCTATTCAAAAGAATATTGTCCTGTCTAGTAAATACGTCCACTCACAATTAATTGACTAGTTCTAAAATCAGATACATTTTTCTGTGTCTTACCAAATTTGTTTACAGTGATTTATAAGTTATCGAGTATGTTTTCATCTGTAACAAACTCAGCTTTGAGCTGTACATTTTATATATGGGATAAAGGATACTATCTAGCTATCCAAAACAGAATAGATGATATGTCTTCTGAACCTTACTATTTATTGTTATTGAGTATCCGGTGATTTAACTAATATGTCATCACTTTAGTGTTCGCTTTTTTCACTGAGATATTTACCTATAAATACAAACTTTCTGAATAACTCATACTGTAATTTGATGAGTTATAAGAAGTTATACTAAATCATAAAACTCATATTTCTAATTAATTACATGAGTAACTTTATCCGTATATAATTTTATCTGGCTTTTTATTCAGTATTAATAAGGATTTTGAAATTTTCCGTTATTGATATTCAAAACTGAAGTTGTTTAGTCTCTGTCGCTGTATGTGTATCCTGAGCGGATTGCTTTAATATTGTGTTGTGTCACACGTATATTTCGTTTGTGGCCAGCACCAGGTTCACATACGCCAACAGAAACTGATCAATTAAAGTCTTTTACATCAATAACAGGAAGTTACAAACTCTCACTAATAACCTTCATACTCATTAAACAAGTTAGTAACTATCTGAACCCATTAGCTCAGTGGATGTCCAATTAGCCATTTGAACTAAAAGTTTCCTAGGTTTAAGTTTTAGCGTAAACGATACAAATACATCAAGCCGATGAATTGATAAGCGTATCCTGGATTCCACTATTAACCACATACCAAATATATTGGAATTGATTTAGTTTTATTGCCTAATCATTAATCATCTTCTATCAGAAATATCTCACTTTTTAATACTTGAATCATTCCATAGAAACATTTAATATAGAAATTCATAATGTTCATTTAAAATATTCTTCTTCATTTTTTTTCTCACCATATTATGATTACTGCAAAACAAAAAAATAACCACATATACTAAATAATGATATTCATTTATTATCCGGTGATTGTTTTGTACTACTAAAACTAAAACAAAATTAACACGCATTTCATGTTGTGTATAAACTTTTAATAAGAGATCCTCATGTAAATATTGGACATTGAAGAAATTTGTGTATGAAATTGTTAAAATACATTTTGTTACATCATTGAATATATTTTCATCATATGGTTTCTTTACAACCCCTTAATCACAATACTTGTTTTGTAACTTATTTTCCAAGAAGTTTAATTATCATACCATTTTTTTATTAATATCTTTATTCATCTTTCTCATTGTTATTAATTGCTGTTTCTTTAAGCTTTGATTCCTTTGATGTCTAATGAGGATAATCCATGTTCATTGAATGATATAAAAAATATGATGGTTAATATTTTATGTGATACGTTGAGTAGTACAGAAGATCCGGTAAATTTTCAATTGTTATTAAGTGAGTATTATCTTTTTGTTATTTCAAATAAGATTCCATTGTCGTCATTAATGCTTCTCTTTAATGTATGTCTTATATTTAGTTCTCTATTGGAGATGATAATATAGTTTACATTATAGACTGATCTTAAGCAATTGTTCAAAATCAGGAGGCATTGGACAGTTATTTCGTCTTAGTGTATGACTCAGTAGCAGTGCTCATTCACTATCCTATCGGTGATTGGAACTAGGAACTTTCGGTTCCGTGAGGAGCTCTTAGCCTTTAAGCTACTGAAAGTTCAGGGTTAGATTTCCAATAGGATCGTGGGTGATTTCTGCTGATAATCCACATACTAGGTCCCAACAGCTATCCAACAGTTCTTGATTATGAAAGGTTATCTTAGTAAGGTTAACCGTGATGTAAATTATGACATTCAACATGCTCCATAAACCCCTATACCGACAATTAAGTGCTTTATACAATATTATAAAGTTTTACAATAGGGGATACTCAGCACCAATTATGCACTGTTACAGCAAGTTTCTCTTAGACCTGCTTACAAACTGTATTTCACAAATATTTTTCCAACAGTCAGTATTTGCCACTCAACCACCAGGTCAATATTTCAGATGCTGGTTGGAGGTAGTCAAAGGGAAACCTGGACCTGTGTTTCGTGCTACTTGGCACTCGTCAGTGAGGTGTACCTATAATCTCGGGTGAACTGACTCGATCCCGTGTCACCCAGCTTCACAGTCAGAGATGTTACCACTGGCTATCCGGGTCGCGACTGACCTCCCATAGGACTGAGATGCATTTACAACTGATTGACCGTTGGGTGGTGATTAATGTCATGTGTGTCAGGTCCTTCTTAGTGCAGATCGAATCCTATCGACCAAGTTATTAATATTTTCTTGATTCATCGTATGAATTCCAATGTAATTGCCTTTCGTTTCTTCAAAGGTTAGGGTAAAAAGGAAATATGCCATGGAGTGAGTTGTTTCCATCTGAATTTTCCAATATTGAGCACAGAATTAAAGTTGTAAGCTTCCTATAAAAGCGCGTGAATGTATGCAGTTGATTTTCATAATTATTTGCAGTGAAAAGAAATTTAAAACAAGAATACTTTGGGATGATTGAGAAGTGAATGTCCCAAATTTCTTAGCAGGTTACCATACTTCTCATCTTGTCAGTCTTTCTCTCTTTGTACTGATTTGGTGTATAGCCACTTGAACTGATGCACATTCATGCCAAGTGGTCATACATTGGCTATGATCGATTGATTTGACCATTGTTTACTGTCTATTATAAGAACATTCATGCATCTCGGTAATTTTTGGAGATGTCTGTAGATGGTCTTGTTCGCACATCGGGTTTATTAAGGAATTTCTTCCATATATAAATATCTTGCTTTTACCAAGAGCTTATTACCCGATATCGTTAAGTATGGGATAAAGACAATTATACACTAATGACATCTTATTAATAATTATTTAGCCTTTTGTTTTTCTAGAAAATATATTTTATTATTTCATATTACCAATTGTTTGTTCGGCTACTTTCACCAGCTGTTCATATCTCTATAACTTGATTAAATCTATTTAGTTACATTGCATTGTTATTTATTAGAATCATGAAATGGAATACAAAATCCATATAAATAGTTAGACAAAATATCTAATTCATAAGATATTTTCAAACTACATAAAGAACGTAAAATAGAGCAACGAAACGCCGTAATAACTGGACTCTTGAAAAACGCCTGTATTGTTTTTAAATGTCTCCCTTCTATCAGTACTTAAATTATCATTCAGTTTCACTTATTTTTAAGTTTTATGAACGCTGTTGCCAACACTCACTGTAGTTTCTATATTTCCATTATATATATGTATCAAAACTAAATCATAAATCGCAATAATCTTCATTTTTAACTATCGATTAGGTGTGGCGTTGGCTTTAATTGAAGACATGTCAGCTGATGAGATGCAGTCATCTAATATTCGAACCGACCCTGGCAAATCTCGTAAGGATTTTTAAGCTTATGTTACTTTTTTTCTACGTTTTTAAACAGACATTCTTGTTTAATTACTCTTCGTGTTTGTGGTTGGGTCATGTTGATGAAATTGTGTCAGTTATCTGCAGACTGTTTTAATAATATATATCACCAGCGCGTAATTGTGCATTCTGTCCAGGAAATTTCGCTCCCTGATTTTGAATTAATGTTATTTTGACAGTCTGTTCGGAGGTGTAACACCTCGAAAGTCTAACTCGTTCGTGTCCGACGGAGAACTTCGTTCATATTTCATTTGAATGATTGAAGATTTATCAGATCACACAGAATGTCATTAGTGATACTGTCGTTTATGATAACAATTTTTAAATTGATTTATTACGTTCATGTAATTTCAGTAAGATAAGTGAATGCAACATTGTGTGCATACAATAAAATACATCCTGGTTTCAATTCTCCCACTTCTCAATATCAAAAAAGGAAATTTATTATTGTAAACAGAAATAATACTGTTGGACTGTGAAAGAATTTTCCAGGATAAATTATCAAAATTTGTAGGTACGTTAGATAGTAAATGCATCTTCGCCGTTAGTGATTAATTGCAATCATTTTGTCTAGTCTCTTCACGTAAGTATTTCAACAAGTTAACACTCCCTTGTGCGACACAAGTCTAACAGTTAATGACTTCATAGATTAATATGATAGTGTATTATCTATTAGACTATGGCAGTGTTTCTATGATAGTTAGGAGTATTTGAATTATAGTATGAACTAGGAATCCCAGAAATAACATGATCGGATCAAGAAGTACTAGATAAGCACTAATGAATGTACTGTATCTGGAATTCGAACTCAAGCATTCAACAAGTACAAAGGAATCATCAGTTCATTCAAACACCACATCCGCCACAGCTTAAATTGGAGTCTAGGTGTCTGTAATCAATTGTACGTCTTCTTCTCAAGTTCATCCTGTGTATGTCTGACATTGTATTCGATAAAAACTCTGTTATCTAGAATGCACTCATTAGTATTAGAATTAACAACCGAAATCGGAACAGACTCACCTGCTTCCTGGGATTGTGTAATCACCATGTCGGTTGTGCACTGAAACCGCTGCTACCTAGAATTTGAACCATAGACTTTTAGAATATCCTCCCCCACAAAATAATGTTGGATCTTTATATCCCCAATTTATGAATGATGTGGCTTCATTTAAATCATATTTCTCACATTGGTTAGAGTAAACATTAGAAGTGTTTTTGTGATAAGGATAAACAGCAGTTGATATGAAATCATCCGAATTGTAATCAAAATCGAGCTCATTTAGTACTTGTGCTTCACATTGAACAAGTTTCCCACAAGAAACAAATGCATCATGAGGACAAATAATATTGAGTATGACATCAGGATTTGATTCTTCTGAAATAGTTTCCTCGAATTTATTAAGAATGTCATTGCAGAGTAAAGGATCATTAGAAAAATCAGCATCTATCAAAACTACATCAGGTTTTTGATCATGACTAGGTTTATTCAACATATTTTCCTCAGATTTGCAAGGAATTTTGTCAGAAATAAGTGAATCATTAAGAAAAACCATATCTGGTACAATAACATGAGAAATCTGATAAGTCGATTGATTAGAAACTGTTATTTCGCAAGAATTCTGAGTTTCATTTAACTCTGAACTGCTGTTTGACTCTACACTGTCTTTTGAAATCGTTGATAAAGATAAGCTGTATGCTTCTTTTCCGATGAATGTGAGGAAATGTGCTACAATATTAAGATCCTCAATATCTTCCTTGGTCATAGCCCAAATTTCTAACCTTTCAAAGTAATCCTCAAAAGCTTCAGAAGTTGAATGAATATCTAACTTTTCCATCGCGACGCCAATAAAATGTTTCGAATTATTTGAATTATCGTATGAACTAGGAATCCCAGAAATAACGTAATCAGATCAAGAAGTACTAGATAAGCACTAACGAATGTACTGTATTTGGAATTCGAAATCAAGCATTCAACAAGTATAAAGGAATCATCAGTTCATTCAAACACCACAGTTTCCCACTTAGCTCACTTCTGATGTAGTGGAGGGTGGTTGTTTGGTATTAACGATACATGATCTAGTTAGTGCATGTTCAACATACTTCACGTAGGTGATGCGACAGCAAGTTTGTTTCGTCATTTAATTCGTTGGATTAACTAATGTGATTTGTTGTTAAAGCTTCACAGAACATACTTTCGTTTGATTTGCCTTATTCTATTCACGTGTATTGATTTCCTCAAATATATTTAGGTGCTTCGTAATATTTATACACTAGTGTTATATATATATACTCATCAGTTGCAAACTTTCTTCTTACGTTTTAGACACAACATCTAGTTTCTTCAATATTCTGACACCACTGCTTTGTGGTAATTTAGTATATAAGTGGAAAAATGATTCATCAGTTATGCTTTATTTATTAGAAATCATCTCTGGTTTATCTAGTGTACATGTTACACCAGTTGATCCATCTACTTGTAAGTACTTTAATATTCAACTTGTTTCATTTGATAAGATTTTTTTATTATCCGTCAATTAAAAAATTGTTATCTTCATATTTCAGATCAAAAAGTCATTTGAATTAATTCAAAAGATTGTTTTGTGTAAAGTTATTTTGTATGGCAAACTGATATCAACTGAACAATAACCGAGAACGATGGAGCACCGAATCGTTGTTTTTTTTGTCTCACTTTCGTACACTTCGGTAATCCTCACCTATAGCCACTCCCCTAGGGAAGTGTAATAAAACTAAGGAGATTTTATTTAAAAGATGTCGTTTCTTGAATTAACCGTACAATTCGAATTAAATTCGTAGTTAGTTTATACTACGAAAAAAATGGTAGACACTATCGTCAAACCTTTTAATTCACAGGGTGATAAGTTGTACGGGTAGTGTCCAGTATCATGAGTGTGTAGTGGAAGAAATAAACCCTAGCTGACTACATAATACATGAGATCAATAAACGATAAGGATTTATAAAAACTATTTTTGAAAGTGTAATTGTGTTTTAATAAAACCTATTTCAACTTCTTTCCTTTTCTTGTTGCCGTAAGTCTTCAATATTGAATGAAAAAGACAAATTTAACTAGAATTATATCGGTGTAAAAATACTATTTTAGAATAAACAAAACTGTCAACACCCATATAATTGGATAAGTGTCTTTTGTTGTAGTGATACCAGACTTGATGCATGCAACTCTGGAATTTTCGGATCAAGAACAATTCTTATCGTTTATGTCACGACATATCAATCAATTCCAGCATGAGTGAATATACAGTTTAGTTTTTTACTAGTTTCTTTTTCTTACTATGAAACACTTGTAAACCTTTTAGTTGGTTATTGAGTTACTCCATTTTTGATTGAAGTAAAAGACATTTATGTCTTAGATCTTTTATCGTTTTCTTTCACCTCTCATATTTCTTTTTAGATAGACATACCGTCCGATCAATATGTGAATTTATTACAAATCAATGTAACCGTGAAAAAAAAGACCATAAAAGGCAGCTACATAGTATTATTGTTGCTGCGTATTATTGTTTATCTTCATGGATTGTACAACATGTGAATTTATTATTATCTGATCGAGAATGTGTATGGACTATATTAGAAACAATTGAATTGGGTATTTGTGGTGCTAAGTCTTCAGTATGTTATTGGTTGTTACATGTTGTATTTTAATTTTTGTCAAATCTTTGATGCTAATCTTATAATAATGACCCGTTCAGAGCTAAATAATTAGATATAACAATACTCTTAACATTTTTGTCTTAGTGGAAAGGAATAGTTCAGTGATTAAAGTATTAGTTTGATAATATATCAGTTTTATAATATACTGAGTGTTTGTGAACCATCCTAGTGTAGTAGTAGTAGTACTAACGAAACCATAGTATATTCATCAACTAAATATCGATGGTAAAATGATTTATTTGGTTTTCTTTAGACCTATTCAACTATTTATGGATTATATTTGAAATATGAGTTGATTGTGTACCTTAAATCAATATCATAGTAATAATTACTGCTGAAGAACCGGAATTGGGTCAAACCAAACATTTGATGCTATCTAGTAATTCCTCAGTTGATATCATTTCCCGATGAAAATCACCTCTGAACTGTAGATAAGCTAAATCTTTTTTTCTATATTAGACTTTCAATGAATAAACTTATTATTAAACAATATCTACTTAATAGGTATCATTATCAAGGTTTGATTTGATAATTTCGAATAAATTGAGCATTGGGTAGATTTTTATAAATAAATAGTATATTTGTAATATCCCAATGAGTAGAAAAATTAGATTTTCTGACGTTTCGTGGCTTAATGTAAGTCACTTCTTCAGAGAATAAATAACCAAATTAAAATTAATCTAAGTTTAAATATTTACTTAATGATTGATAATCCAAATAACTACTATTTATGCATAATACAGTGAACAATAATCTTTTGAAAGAATTCCCTTCATATGTTACCAGCACATGATGAAATTTTTCTCAAATTTACTTACATGTGACAGCTAATAGCATTCTAATAATATTTTAGTTTGTGTTTGCGAGAAAAGCGTTTATGTATGAATATAAGTTAGTTAAATCTTATCGAATAAAAAATATCAAGTAGCGAAATGTCTTAATTTTGATCCATTATTCATTTATTATTGAGCCGTAGATGTTACGATAAACGTTAGTACTACATAGTATTTTTTCTCTGCAAACTACTGTTTCTGAGTACCTTATATTAAACTACGTTCTCTGTTTTTCATCTAAATCAGAATAAACAGGCAAAAAATGAGCCCCCTACTACTATTCTCAAAGGTCAAAAACCTTTAGTTCCATCCTCAAAACGTGTTTGTGATGCAGCTGAGGCTTGTCTGTCAAATTTAATGTCAGTAGCTGGATCTTTTCCTGGACCATTCGGGACCGATACAACATGTTCTCAATTAGCAGAAGATAACATTTTGAAATTGATTATAGATAAAGAGTCGAATTCATCTAAGGGTCGGTCAGAATTTCACTATTTCTGGTCCGAACCCAATTTAATAATTGGATTGTGCGAATTCCCTACGAACTCGTTTAAATCAACCATAAAACCAAAAATTGATTGTTCAAAAGATGGACCAGCTGCAATTTTAATTATTCGAGGACCATTTGGACGTCATGTTTGGATAACGCATATGCGTCTTTCACCATTGTTGGGAAACGACTCAAATTCTCAGTCAAATTATTCGGATCAAAAACAAGAAGTAGTAATTAATCGTCCTAAACCTTGGGGTTGTTTTCTTGACAGACTTATCACCACAGTAACCAACAATGAAAATGTTCCTGCTTTAAATTTTCCACAATCGATATCCGATATTCCACTTGTTGAAGCGTAAGCAATATGTTTCTTGATTATTTGTCATTACTTAGGTTCGCATTTCGAGGCTAGATATACTCCTCAGTCTTGAGGAAACTGATCCCTTCTGGTGGGTTTGAATCCACTTCATTCACACTCACAGTTTGAAACGTTGTCACTGAGCTATTCTTACTGCAAATGACTTTCCATTGGATTGTGACGTTTCCAATTTATTGGTCTCTAAGCAGTTATTAATGTCATGTTTTCTAGTTTTTTGGCGCTGATCAGTAATTGATAAATATCCACCACTTTTCTGTAGTTGTACTTTATATTTTTAATGATAGACATTGAGCTGTAATTCAGTTTCTCATTTGTGCCCTAAATCTGCTTAGTACTGTATTTTTGTGCATTATATATATATATATATATATATATATATATATATATATATATATATATATATATATATATATACCCAATTCTTTATCATATCAAAATTAGTGATCATATAATACCTTCGCTGGATGCAGTTGGTAGTGAACTTGGAAGTAATGTTAGACAAGAAATTAATGTATTCAAGAAATTAATAACCACACATGCTTCGTTAGCAAAGGAAGTTGGATTACGTTGTGTCCAAGAAAAAATTAATGCACCTTATCCTGATCCAATCACAGAAGCACAAGCACCAATGTAAGTTTGATTTTTTGTGTCTTGCTATAATCTTATTTTGATGAATAGTGTAACATGAAATGGGCTCAATTTATCAATGTTTTTCTATACATTTGTACTCTCAACAGTGGCTGACATTTTTTGCACGGTTATTGTGATTCCTGATCCCTAGTGATGGGAATTTCCTGGGTGTGATTAAAAACATTTAAAATTAAGTGACTGGTTAACTTGTTTTTGAAAATTCGTGCTCATGTGTTCAGGAACATTGTTGCGATTGGAACGCTACCAGATACAACGTACTCAAGAACACATTATCGGTGTCCATGACAACGTTCGAAACAATACAGCTAGTACTTTGTAATTTATTTACGTTCATAGTCAGTCAAGGGATATTTACGTTTTGTATTACTTTTCAGGAATCAGTAATTAATATTTATTATTTTAAAGCTGATCATTTTGTTGGACAAAACGGAATAAAAAAATTTATATTAAAGAAAAATACAAAAATAACCCTGCGGTAAATAGTATTCCTCAATGGTGTTATTCTATAGTACGTATTTCAGCGAGATGTTCATTCATATAGTTAAATAGGGAGTTTTCATTAATAATGGTAACCAGTGTGTCAGTAAAATGTTTGTAGTGAACTTCAGCGCACATCCATCAGAATAAAACTTGTATTTGGACCGGAAGATAGTTTTAGAAGAATACGTATTATGACTGTATACTACGTAGTTTATATTCTGATTTCGCCTTTTAACACTAGAAAAATGATATTGCCGTACTAATTACTTTTAAGAGAGCAGGTAATCTACCGAGTAATGAGTAGTCTTTACAACATTTTCTTCCTGAAGGTAAAGACTGTCTTGTAAATATGGATTCGAAAGTTGCTACTTTTTTAAAAGAGAAAGGCATTTTATCTACTGAATGAACCTTTTAAGTTTTAATAATAGAATAATGGTATATTCGTGATATTTTAGTGGCTGGTACTGTGTCAAGCTCACACAGGTTATTCTAGCATCTGGACGACAGACCAATTTATTCATTCTTCTCAAGCCACATTTTGACCTGATTACTTATTATTTCTGTTTTTATATGATCGCATGTGTGTTAATTGCTCACCCTATTCATTACGTGTTTCCAACTTCTTTTGGTCTGAATATAAATATTGAGTCCAGCTTGATCAAAACGAGTCGGCTCACTCGCCATTTCCACTGCGCGCCACTCTGTTTCTCTGATTGTCTCTTCAAATCAATTTTTTGTTTGTTTTGTTTGAACACATAAATATTGGTACAAGAGGGCACCAAATATATATGCGCCACAAAAAACAATGAGAATTCGAAGAGAAAAAAACAATAACTAACAGATCGGTGTAAGGTAGTGTAATAATAATAATAATAATAATAATAATAATAATAATAATAATAATAATAATAATAGCAATAATAATAGTAATAATGGTGGAAACGGAAAGGTACAATCAGAAGAAATCTTTCAGTTAAGGAAGACACAACCAATTTTTATGAAGAAAGTAAAAGAAGGTTACAGCAGGATCGCCACTGGCTTCTATTCTGAGCCATATCTGATAACATCTCTAGCCACTGTGTCGCACCATCTCTCGGACCCAAGCCAGGGAGTCGTGAAGGACCAACAGAAGCCAGCCCTCTGCAGCTTTCTTTCATGCCACGACACTGCGTCATGCACTGACCACCTCTCCGCTTCTTCCAACCAGTCCCAGAGTCGGCAAGTAATGCATGACGTGGAATTCTCTGGGACGACATTCGTAGAACATGTCCAAGCCACCGAAGTCGGTGTTTCAAGATGGTGACACCAATTGCATGATCGTCTATGTGCCCGAACACACGATCCCGAACCTCTGCATTACTAACATGGTGTTGCCACTGTACGGCAGCAATCCTTCGGAGACAACGATGATCGAACACAGAAAGTCGCCTAACGTCCTCAACTCGGAAAGGCCAGGTTTCACAAGCATAGAGCAAAACTGCTCTCACCGACGCGTTGTAGATCCGGCCTTTTACAGCCAGACTAACATCACGAAGGCGCCAAAGGTGGCCCAGATTGGCATAAGTCGCTCTGGCTTTCACTATACATGTATTGGTTTCATCACTCACACCCCCACTAGCACTTATGCAGCTACCCAGATACACGAACTTCTCGACTACTTCTATCTGCTCACCATCCAGGGTGAGTACAGGATTAGAATCCTGCCAGTCTTGTAGAAGTACTTTGCACTTCGAAGGTGCAAAGCACATACCGTACCTACGGACATTGATTGCCAACTGATTAAGTGCGGATTGCATGGCTTGGGCATTATCGCGCAGTAAGACAATATCATCCGCATACACAAGGTTGGGAAGTCTTTCTCCAGGCAACAGATCCACACCACCATTACTTACATCCATCAGAGCTGTTTCCAGAATGTCATCAATGGCAAAGTTGAAGAGGAATGGTGAGATTGGGCAACCCTGCCTAACCCCACTGCTCGAATGGAACAATGGAGAGAGGTGGTTGTATGCCCTCACTCTGTCTGAGGTGTTTGTATATAGGGCTTTTAGGATGTAAATAAACTTCTCAGGCACACCCTTCTTCAATAGACAATCCCAGAGAGCAGTCCTGTCCAACGAATCGAAGGCAGCCCTGATGTCGAGAAACACTACGATTGTTGGCCTTTGATAAGTATGACGGTGTTCTAACATTTGGCGGAGAGTGAAGATATGATCAATACATCCTCGACCAGAACGAAACCCAGCCTGCTCCTCGCGAGTCAATCTTTCTTGGGTTTTGAACAACCTATGAAGTATGACGGAAGCCAATAGCTTGGACGCAATCGGAAGTAGACTTATCCCCCGATAGTTGTTACAGGAACGACGTGAACCCTTTTTAAAGATAGGGACAACTATCGACTCATTCCATGACCTCGATACACACTCTAGCTCCCAGACCTCAGTAAACAACACAGTCAGTTCCTTAGTCAGAAAGTCACCACCATCTTTAAAAAGAGCCGGAGGTAATTCATCTGGGCCTGGTGATTTGTAGCGTCTCAAGAGTTGGAGTTCCTTGTGGCTTCCGCCTCATTTGGTGGATCAGTCGTCACCGACCATGGAAGGCAGAACAGCCTGATCGATGTTGCCGGAGCAGCGGGCCAGTTGAACTGCCCTCCGAAGAATTCCGCCCATCGTCCAAGACGTTGATGGGTGTTGGTGTTTGGCATCCCGTCATTCTCGTAGGCCGTTTCGCGCACACCAGACTCCTCACTGCCAGTGGCTCGGATGAGTTGGAAGAGCTTCCGGTAGTTACTAGGTGCAGCTGCTGCTTCCAGTTCATTAGTACGCTCCGACCATTAGGCTTCTCGGTCCTTACGCAATTTTTGCTTAATTTCATTACGTAACAGTCATCGTTTGTGGTCAAACTCACGGTTACTTGAAATAGACCGACGGGCTTCAATGAGTTGTAAGGAACCAGAAGAAACCTAGTGCTCATAAGCGGGACGTTTCGCGAAGCCGCAAGCGGCTTTACTCACCAAATCAGTTAGTATGAAATATAGGTATTCAAAATCCATTCTCGTATTTGGCTTATTTTATTCTGTTGTTCTCTAGAACAAATTAAGTCAATAAAAATATACGAAGGTTGGCGGTACGTATATTTCTATAACAATGGTCATGCGATTTAACTGAAGTCATACATACGGCCACTATAATATCTCAATCAGTAAGAATTTGGGTTTCTAATGTTTTGAGGCTCTGTGGCCTCTTCTGATTAAATAGATAAGTGTATAAGACTTAACACAAACCTAAGTAGTCTGTTTGATCTTAATTTAATACGGTCATTTATTTACTCTGAAGTGGCTTACACTAAGTCACGAAACATCAGAAATTCAGATTCTTACTTGTTGAGAAACCACGAATATGTCATTATTTTATTATTAACACTTTACCCAATGCTCAGTTTGTATGAAAATATCAAAGCTTAAGTTATTCACTTTTTAGGATAGAAGCTTTACTTTCTGATTATGTGTTAACAAATTTTCAGGATAATTTTTTCTAGTGATTTACAAAATATATTATGTAGTAGTTAATTGTTCATAATACAGCACTGTTTTATGAACTCTGAATGAATTTGCCCCAGTGGCGGTATAAGTGCACTTTAGCAATCAATACATTTTCGAGAACATGTTTTAGTAAGTGACAATTGTTTCTATTCTTGCCTTTCTCAGTCCCGTTGTTAGTTTTCACCCAATACGTTTATTACTAACACATTTGGGCTATTTATCAATCGGACCTTCTCAAATGCCCCAGTCATTATGGCCACGTCCAGAGTTAAAACGTGATAACCAATCAGGTGAACGTCTTGGTCTTGGGAATCGACAAAGTCCATCTTTAACAGCTAATCGTATCATACAGGGGCTTTCGCCTACCTTGCCGTCGAATAGTACTGAAGACGAACTATTGCCCTTATTTCCATTCGACGTGGAAAATCCAGATTTTGCTGATATATTAACAAATCTAGACCATATGCCGACCAGAACAGGTGATACTCTTTTGGTTTTTTATGTTGCTGCTGGTCAGTCAAAAGTTGGTGATATTCTTGCGAATATGGTAAGATTACTACTTTTTTTTATTTCTGTTTATCAAAATAACTTTACTTAACTGAAAACTTAATAAAATTTAACTTCTTATTCAACGAAAAACCGCTTCACAAGCTTCGAGATTTAGTTCTGAATTTTTTTCACAAAATAACTCCAAACATTTAATAGTATCACTTGGTCGATAAATATTGATAATGAGCCTTCAGCATTGGAAAATGATAATGTTTGCATAATAATCAGTTGTCTCCATTTATTCACCTGATAGAATATATGACATTGGGATTATTAAATACCTAAGATTCAACCCATTCTTTCATTTAAACAGTTTACTGTGTCGCCATTTTTCAGTGGGAACTGTTGAACTCTATTCATATTTTCCATTACGTCGAAAACCCAAAACGTTTCGGTTTAGTGTTCTACGAGTTGAAGATGTGCATAATTGGTTTCTGTTAAATTCATTTTCCAGATGACATGATGCAAATGTTCGTGAACTATTCTGTATGGACAGTGGGAGTAAGTTTAATTAACTACACCTAACAACTCGATATTGCATACTTATTACGTTTGTTATCCCTCGTTGAGCATAGACTGTTGACCGGCAACCTCGAATCAACTCTCCTGGGTTCTGCTTCCCAGTTATTGTCAAGTGTTATTCATTCTTTAAAAGTCCGCCTTCTATTCCCAGCACAATGTGTTCTCTGGTCTACGTATGCCTGAACACCGATTACCACGACGTGCAATGCTAACCGGTGTTGGAGATGGTTGGAAGAAAGTTAGGGGCGGCCAAACCAAAACGTGGCATCAGTGCTTAAAGTCACCAACTTCTAGTCTGAGCCATGTTGGTAGATGGAGACTACTTGGTTGTGGTCCGCGTGACTGTCGTAACCAATGGTTGAAGACTCTTGGTGACATGGCTCAGAATCGCTCACAATGGCGTGGGTGTGTACATTCTGTTTTCCCTTAAACTAAGAAATTAAAATCACTTCATATCTTTCTTTCTACGAACCAATTCTTTCTTCCTGTACTATATCCTTATATGCAATCTTTCTTTTATATATTACCACCATTGACTTAACCACTCCTATGAATCCGGTGTCCATCTTGTTGTGCTAATGAGGTATGTGTTGGGATATTCAGAAAAATATACCAGTAATTATCCTGTTAAGTCTAATGGTGTCCTTGGATTTTAAATGGACATTTCCTATTGGTCAATGTTTATTTCACTTGTCAAATATTGTTTATATTTTATGGTACGATGTGGTCTGCCTTATTGGTATATAAACAGAGTATGTTTGAAATATAACGATTCATATCGCAGAAGCTGAGACTTGCGTTTTGGACTCAACTGGCTGGGCTAGACAGGGAAGCAGGGCCAATCAGGACTCTAGGTCGTTCTTACGTGTTTACGTGTCATTGATCCGATCGATAATACGCTGCGCATCTAATCTGCAGTCACAAGTCATAACAGTATGGCAACTTGGACCGATGCATATATGTGCCTGGTCCTACGTTGTAGCTGACTGACTGAAGGTTTACCTCGTGACCCAGTTTGATAATTCCCACAATGTGTATCCTATTCTTAACTTCCTGGTTTGTTCTTTGCAACACTGGCGAAGACAACTGTTTATAGATGGCTGTACTCTTTTGATGATGGTTGTAGTAGGTCTCCACGTTTCAGTTCCGTACAACAGAACTACATTGATGTTTGTACTGAAAATTACGACTTTCACACTTCGACGTAGAGAGAAAAAAATTAGATCTCTACCAAAATAACTTATACTACTTCAACAAACCTTACTCCAAAGATTGTCATGTGAATATTTGGTGTGGAAATTTTGAAAAACAAAAAAATAATATGACGCACTAAGATAATGGTAAATTGGTTAAGGTAAACCGATAGGAATGCAATAGAAAATAATCAGATTATAACAGATTGTTATTCCATAGGGATTCAAGAAAGTGAAGATTTACTAAAAGCATATTAATGATTAAAGGTGGATTAGATGAAATTTCTAATAATTACTATTAGCTTTAAAACAAGTATTGAGATATCAAAGCCAGTTTCTTCAACACACTTCCCAGTCCACTTGTGGTGCGTTCTACTTATATTGACGTAAGTAGTATATGACGCGAGTTAAAAACTTAATGTATGGTAGCAGAAGATGGGGGAAGATCAAGAAAGGAAGAGCGAGAACACAATGCAATTTGTAAGAAAACGCATGAACAATGAAATGTGAGATAATGGATTGGTGTTTGCAACAGGGACAGTCCAGGTTCATGTGATGGATTAATATTTTGCAAATTAACGATTTACTGTATGGTTTTTCTATTTTACCAAGTAACTCTGTAATTGTGTGCCAAATACCATTCGATTGTCCCCACCCGTGTTCTGTTCACTACACACTTAGTTTTATATGAATAATTTTTAATCAGAAATGAAACTAATACGTATCATTCAAATGCTTAAGATAAACGGTAATATCTTTTGTCGAAATATTTAATTTAAATTATTCACAAACATGTTATCGCTCGATTTAAAATCGTTGTTGCAGTTATTCCTGATTGTCGGGCTTTCAAATGAGAACAAACCCGAGCTAATGGCTAAAGGAAAACCTATATTTATATGAGAGGATATAAGTCTCCAAGTCAAACAAAATAATTTCTGAAAAATAAATGTCCTATTAAATTTATATAATAGTTATCACATTTACTATATAATATACCAAGTTTTTGATTTAATCAAATAAATGTTATTGTCATTGCTAAGTCTCCTTATTCAGCCTAGTATTCTTGGACACTTCCGTTCACTCGACCAGTTGTCAAACTAAATCAAGACTTGGACAGGGACGTAAATTACATTCCGAACAAAACAAGGTAATAGAATGTCGATGTATTTACAAACTTTACACAGGAATATTTGAGAATTCTCTCACCTCATCCCTTAGCGCTGATTGGGTGAAAGTGATCCGATCAACGCGCTCCACTGTAGCATGCTCTGATTAAGTTTCTGGTCTGATAACAGCAATGTAATTACACAGTATTGGCATTTGTTCATCATTTAATTTTGAATCTTGTACATATATGACTTCTACATAACTTACTCCACGAAAGTATATTTTACATTCCATAAATGTTTAGACAGTTTTTCAGTAATTTTGATTTGTGAATAATTTTTTATTACGTTTGATCATTAATACTGGATTTCCACCTACCTAGTTCTGTTCATGTACGTAATTTTTTTATTTGCTAAACAGAATATTTGGTCAAGACTACCTGAAGCATTTCATCAGTTCTTAAGTGGTATCGGCTGTATCAAAGATATTTCTGATCATTCAGGTTGGACAGGGAACCTTCAAACTAGCTATCGTACATCAAATGGATACTTGGTGACGGGTCACTGTAATCAGACGAAAAATATACATGCTGACCACTGTCCGGATGGTATTCAATCAATTATATACTATGCTGATGCAATAACAGAATTAGCATGCATTTGTCCCACTAATCAATTTTATGGAAATGAAGAGAATTCTGACTCAAACCTTTCGTTAAAGAGTACACGTTATCGCACTGCTAGCGAAATTATAAGTAAGTTTAAAATTAAAATAATTGTGATTGGTTTAGTACAAACAGTACGAATAAAATGGGATATTTCATTGGTCGGACGGTACTTCCTGAAGCATACACGAAATGCACTCGACTTCGTAGATATATAATTTACGCTTGAACCTGATTTATCTCTTGAGGTAGCTAACACAATGGGCTCATCACTATTATTTTTAGGAAATTCGATAGTTTAAAACGCTAAAGACGATTGCTATTAAGTAGGTTTGTGTTGTATGCATATTAGAAATTTATCTATCTCTAAAGGTGACCAATAGCTTACAAGGTAGTAGATTTCATCAAGTTTAAAAGTAAACAGTTCCATCAAGGGAAACTAATTACTTCTGATGAATACTAATTGAAGTGACCATATGGAGTATATTACACATGACTAGATTACTTCATGCAGAAAAATGATAAGAGGACAGTGTATCTGTATGGTAAACTGTTTTCAAAAGAGTATTCAATCCAATTAAAGCAAACACTAAATAGATCAAGGTTCTCTAGTAAATATATTTTAGTTGACAAACAATAAGAACTTCCTTAACAAGTTTACCTGATGTTAATCTGCGTTTTTTTAGATGTTTAGTGTTTGTAAGATCGTGTTTAGTAAAAAGGTCACATAAGAAACTGTTTGGTGGTTTTGAAAAACTGTGTAAATTGGATATTTTAATAATTTAACTTAATGTGAATAATACATATGCATACTCGATAAGTAATTTCTATTTCTGAAAAAAACCTTGATACTGATTAAAATTCCTCATCCTTTATAATAATATTATATTTTGTTTAATTATCACGCCAGCTAACATCACTCGTGGGACAAGTCAAAGTGCAGTAGGCATGGGAGAAGTTGGGGCGGACCCGACTGGAGGTCGAGTGGCAGTTGTATGGCTCGAACGATGGGAAGATGGACCTATGCACTATGAACCAGGAGTTGGGACGAACATCCAGAATATGACGAGCAAGAATTTTGACTGCCCTGTCACAATTTATGTTCATCCTTTAAGTTCCGGATTATGCAGAGTTGGCATTATGCGTCTTCAAGGACGAACATTTGAAGCTGGTCCATTACAGAATGGATCTGTATTAAGTCAGCGTTGTCTTAGTAGTTTTGTAAGACAAACTGTAATAAACTTATCACGACGACGTCGTTTGGCTTCCGACTCATTTCAACCTCCTCATGTTCGACGAAGCCATGAATTGTTCAGATTGGCAGAAGCAAACCGTAAAATTGTTCGAGTTCAGCCATCATCATCTGGCAATAAAACTAATACATACTCTTGTAACACAGCGAATATTGTGCGTAGTCTTTTTTCTAGACAAACTCAAATTCATTCTAGCTAAAGCTTTTCATATTTTAACTGTAATATCCACTATTGTTGTGAACAAGGATTCCTTCATATTTACATATCAAACAGAATGCTTTTTTTCTTTTTATTTTCATACTTCCTAATCTTACGTATTTAACATGTAACTAAATATACTTTTACATTTTAATTTTCTTCATCTATAATTATGGTAATGATATATGAAATTTGCACACTTACTACACATTCAAAATCGAATACTGTCTGTGAGTAGACTGGAAACTGCAGCGGACATTTAGTCTTTACAGTTGAGAATTCACATAGTAAGGGTAGATAAAAGCTAAGTAGATAAATTTTTTATTTGTAAATGTAATGATGTAATGTAATAATGTAAACTACCTCCTTTACATCCTAAAATGACTAGAGGTGCTAAAGACATTACCACAGGATTATCATACTTCGACAAACTGATGGACGGCTATGAACATGGTTGAAATTTATTATTTGTCAACTCAAAACACTTTCATAGTAGTTACAAGAATGGAAACGTCTCTCAATAGTACGCAATGGAAATGGATGCTTCTTAATACTTTTGTTGCTCACGAACTATATTGTTTATTAGATTCACTGAAATCGCTGTATTTGTGACAGATCATAAAACTGTTACAATGCAATGTGCCATTGGTTTTTATATTTACAATTTGTACATAGAACATATACAATTATTTGGTTTCTAATGAAATGGTCATAGGCGAGCTCCAAACTTTGGATGTGAATCCTCCTGAAGATATGAATTATCAAAAGCATTAATTCGATAATAATAAACTTTTTTCATCTGGTTTTGCTTTAGCACCTCTAGCAAATTGAACAACCATCGGACGATCATATAGCATATAACCATTTGTGGCTTCCAACGCTTGTTTGGCAGTTGATTCACATGCAAGGCCGATGAATGCCTGACCTGAGAAAAACAGTAGATTTTAAGCCTATATTATGAAATAGGATGAGAAAGATAGTGTGGTATACTGATTTTTTTTAGAATTGCTAATAATAAATGCAGGTATGTTGTTATTCGCGACTCTTATACATCAGAAGTCTGACGATAACAACAATTGGATTTCTTACATCAAACATGTGATTATTATATTGAAGAACATTTACTGAATCAGGTAGACTCCTCTTGATATTATTTGTTACAACCAAATAAAAACTATAGAGTATACGACTAACTTATAAAAGAATTCAATACAACACAAAATGGGGTTAGAAAGTAAAAAAGAGCTTAACATCATCTTGTACTCACCTTTCATTCGACCTTCCGTCAAAAGCCTTATTGAAAAACACTCTGTTGAGTCCAACGAAACCCTTGGTTTGCAACTACTGTCAGTCACAGGTCCGTTTGAGAATACCCCGAATATTGCAAACAAATCAGCTTCTGTAACCATTTGAGATAAATTTTTGACATACAGACGAGAGGTGGTAGTTCCAGTATCATATTTAGCAAATATTGGATAATTCTTGCGATCCTCATCTTTTAGGCGATTGGATATGATTTCATCAAGGGACAGTACTGTTACGAAATTAGACGGGTTATTATCAGTAACATTTGTCATATTTTCACTACTCAAAGGTGGTTGTGGTGGTAGTGGGATTAAATCTTCCAAGTTCTCATGTTCTTCATCAGAAAATTGTTCTGCGAAGAAAAATGATAAGCGGGATAGGAAAATGTATGTAAACAAATCGTCCATAAGATTCAAGGGATAAATTCTGTTCAAATATATCACGTATTTCAAATCATTTTTTATCTAACTTGCGTAACCCTATGCTCAATACGGTTTTGTATTGGTTACACATAAGTAATGCAGAACATAATCTTGTCCTACCTCACATCATTTGAGGATCTAGTCATTCCACATTGCATAACCGAACATCTGAAACTAAAGTAAGTGTATATATTATGCATCAAACTCTCGGATTTACCTAGCTAATGTCATGACAAGACTTCATAAAATCCTCCTTACCTTTACGGAGCTGAAAATTGGAGAAGATTGATGCATGGTTTTCTTGAGAATTCTGAGTTGGTCCGTCAAGAAAATGCCGTCTATCTACTTTAGTCTCCGTATGGATAAGTCCGAATCCACCTTCAGATTCATCAAGTGAATTACTATGATCACGCTGAGAATTGACGTTAAGAATCTTTGGCAAGTTTAACTTTTTAGCAGCTTGATGTGATTCGAATAATTCAGCAACATCAACATTTTTACGTTTGGAAGTCTTAGGAAGACGACTAGGTAATACAGTAGGGTTTTTTTTGCGGACTTTGAAACGTCTTCTCAGTGAGATGCTTTTTTGTGCACAAGTAGTTGCTTTTTTTTCATCGTCTGAAGGAAACATAAAGTAAAATCAAAACTTTACCAGAAGCGAGTTCAGACTCCGGTCCACTAGATAAATCCATTTCTTCTGAAACTGAACCTGAATCATAATTTTCCTCTTTTGGCAAGCGCTGGATATTATCTATAAGTGTTTGCATTTTCGCATAATCTGAAGCGGAAATGACAATATAATCCCCAGGGAATTGTTCCGGATCCTCAAATGGTGGTGGTAAATGGAGTTTGTTCATTATGTGGAGTACCTGTAGAAAAACGTGTAAATATTACCGCAGGTTGCCTAATGCGAATAGTGATGAGTAACTGTCAGATAATTTTAATTAGTTTTCTGGACAAAACAGCTATTCACTGGTGAAAAGAAATGTTTCTCTCTAGAAACATCTTAACAATAGTCGATGATTTCTGTTCATCGCATGTATAATCAAGGTTCCAACATAAATTAGTGTGCTAAATTGCCATTGATTTTTTTGGACTTCATGACTATTAACAGAAGAGTGCTAATGTGAAAAAATCTGACAGTGAATCGGTTTAGCCAGCCTAAATTAGGATAAACAGGCACAACTTAACGTTCCACATGTATCATATATTTATAAGCATTGAGGAGCTCCTAAACTCGTCAACATAGCTTAAAAGAACATGCGCGAAAAGCGAATGTCCGGCGCTTTAACCGGGTTGGTGGTGGACACGGAGAGTCCACCTAGGGTAGTTGGAAAACCCAGATTCCAAACCAATCGTGCACATGGGCTCCAGTATCCTGAAGGAACAAGTAGCGTATGAACCAATCGTTGGCCACCGGCTACCATGGGAATGCATCTCCTCACGATGCTCCACTGCCTTGTGGTTCAGACCTTGAGGTCGAAGGCTCCGGGTGTGGCCCCCTAAGGAAACCACCTGCTTCGGTTTGGGCACCCGTGCAGTATCCCAGCCCTCATACATATCAAATGAGATTTGTGTGCCGCATATGTACTTGGTGCCTTCTTGTACCAATATCTATGTGTTAAAATAAATAAATAAAGTACATTGATTACGACTGACTTATTCGTATTCACGAGTATATGATAGTTTAACGTTTAACTAATATGTGATATTACACGTATGTCAGTAAAACCGTCCAAATAGAGTCAATATCGGAGGTTATGTACTACAAAGTAATTCTACTGCACTATTATAAAGAAACCACGATGTGCATTGATTAGAGCATGTCTTTAAACTTAAGGGTTTTACAGAACTTTAAACTGTTGCGTAAATGCATTCAAGAATCCTGACCAAAAAACACAAAACTGTCTTCACTTTTGCCTACCTGATTATAAAATGCTGGGCAAGAAGCCAACGATCGCACAATGTTTGTTAGTACGTCAATGGATACAACAGGATATTCATAGTACATTCGTGAGGAAGCTTCAAAAGATGTATCCCACATAGCAGAAAAAGCATTCGTGGTTACGGGAATACATTCTTCTTTGGATTTGTCTGGATTAGTCTTTTGGATATTAACTGAAGATAATCTAAAGAAGATTTAGAGAATGTCGTCCTTACTTTTCTACAGACTGGATGAATTCAACTGAAAGACGTCGATCCAATATTTTCTTTTGGTGAAGATTTTTAATGATATTCCACGCATGTTGTTCAGATGCGAACTCCGCATAAGCGCACTAAGTCTGAATTAGAATGAAACAGATAAAGGGAATACATTACATGTTTGAGAGAACCGGAACATCCAAAATATTGAGACGTGGTTGCCCCCAGAGATTTTAAAAATGTTAAACATTCATCTTCATTTATTTCAGGTGGGAAGTGTTTAAAAATAAGACATCTTTCATCTGACTTCATATAGATGGTATGTTTAGAGAAAGCTTCAGAACCAGAATAAGCAGTGGCTGGAAAAAAAACAAAAAGGGACTAAATAAAACTGATTTTACAATTCATTACGGCTATGTTAATAGAGATGAGCATATTTTAATCAGTATTGTTATATTAACAGTATTGCGCACATATCGCTAACAATAACCAGCACTAGAAACTAGCGTAGTTAACTTGTACAGCTGTGGCGAGACTATAATTTATGGAAAAGCAATATATAAGATAACGCGGAATTCGACAATCCATTTGATTATAATGTTTTGGCATTTTAGCTGATATCAATTTGTGATGAAAACCACAAATCTAATTCCTAACCCTAACCACTAACTGTAAATCATAATTCTAATTCATCACACTGGTTTATAACACTAAATTAGCCCTGGTTGGTCAGTAGACATCCTCGAAGTCAATTTAGCGTCGCTCAAAAGTCGTCCATAAATTATAGTTTCACCGCTAATGCAATTATCATAAGTTAAGGTGTAAAACTAAGTATTTATTTATTTATTTGGACACATAGATATTGGTACAAGAAGGCACCAAGTACATATGCGGCACACAAATCTCATTTGATATGTATGAGGGCTGGGATACTGCACGGGTGCCCAAACCGAAGCAGGTGGTTTCCTTAGGGGGCCACACCCGGAGCCTTCGGCCTCTTGGTCTGAACCACAAGGCAGTGGAGCATCGTGAGGAGATGCATTCCCATGGTAGCCGGTGGCCAACGATTGGTTCATACGCTACTTGTTCCTTCAGGATACTGGAGCCCATGTGCACGATTGGTTTGGAATCTGGGTTTTCCAACTACCCTAGGTGGACTCTCCGTGTCCACCACCAACCCGGTTAGAGCGCCGGACTAAGCAAACGATGTCCCAAGGTGATTTAAAGCTTAGATGGGGGACAAAGTAGTAATTCCTTCGAGTCTTAATCTCAGACTATATCCACAGAACCTTTGCGATCTGAGATGATGTGATGTATCAATAGATATCAATCTAGTACACTTATTTACTCA